CTTACCTAAAAGCCTGACACCCCGCAATGTGACAGGATTGTGACTCCTGCCCTCAGCAAGCAAAATATCCCCATTCCTTGAAATGGAGGGAGCCGTGGGCTGTGGCTCTGTCTGTGTGTCTCAGGCAAAGGGGGGCTGCTCTGTGTGTTTTGCTAGCAGTTAAAATTGCACTTTTTGGGGAAAGAGCTTTCTTTTTGTGTGCTTTGCATTGAGACTTGTGTTTCCAGCTCAGCCAGGAGAGCTGGGGCTGGAGGGCCAGCTGTGTGTGTGTTTGTTTGTTTGTGTGTGTGTGTGTGTGTGTGTGAGAGAGAGAGAGAGAGAGAGAGAAACACCCCCCCCAGCAACAACAGGCTCCCAGTTCTGTGTGTGTCTATGTATTTTATGGTCTCTATCTCGGCCAAGAGGGGCTGAGGCTGAGAGGAAAGAGGAGTTTTCTCACTTTGTGTTTTGCTTGAAGGCTCCTGTCCGGCTGAGGGCTGGGGCTGCAGAGATTGGGCTCATTCCCCCCTTGGCACAACTGCGAGTTCTCTGCCCAGGACTGGCGGGCTGTGCAGCCGAGGGCGGCATTTATTTATGAGTCTTTTTTCTTTCTATACTCTCTTTTCAAGGTACTACTGTATTTTATCTGCAACATGTTGGAAGGGCAGGGAGTCCCCTTTGTGTAACAACTTAAGCAGGAGGGCATAAGGGGGGGGTCACACTCGGAGGAGAATGGACTCCGTTACAAGGCATGGTGAATAATTTTGGCAAATTCAATCGCAAATATGGTGGAGCGATGAACCCCAAACGACTGAGAACTCCTTGAGAATACCCCCCCATGAGCCCCAGTGAGACCTGGACCTAACCAACCAGGTCTTTTGAAGCGTGACAAAACACCCTGGATGTTCGGAGCAGTTTGCATACGCAGACTCCTGGGTAGCGGTCCTGAGAGAGAGCCCTACGTGGCTACAGATGTTGAAAGGACAGTATTGTACCTCGCTGATGGTGCAGTGGGCACTGGAGGAGGCAAAAGTCATCAAATCCCAAAAGAAAGAACACTTTTCCAGAGGAGAGGAGAAAATGAAAGAACCGACCTGGACCCCAATGGTTCCCACTGTTACGGAATGGGCGGGGGCATACAAACAGAGGTTTACTCCCGAGTAAACCACATAGGTCCGTATAGTGAAAGCCATGGTTTTCCCAGTAGTGATGTATGGAAGTGAAAGCTGGACCATCAAGAAGGCTGATCGCCGAAGAATGGATGCTTTTGAATTCTGGTGCTGGAGGAGACTCTGGAGAGTCCCATGGACTGCAAGAAGATCAAACCTCTCCATTCTGAAGGAAATCAGCCCTGAGTGCTCACTGGAAGGACAGATCCTGAAGCTGAGGCTCCAAAACTTTGGCCACCTCATGAGAAGAGAAGACTCCCTGGAAAAGACCCTGATGTTGGGAAAAATTGAGGGCACAAGAAGGGGACGACAGAGGACGAGGTGGTTGGACAGTGTTATCGAAGCTACAAACATGAATCTGACCAAACTGCGGGAGGCAGTGGAAGACAGGAGTGCCTGGCGTGCTCTGGTCCATGGGGTCACAAAGAGTTGGACACGACTAAACGACTAAACAACAACAAACCACATAGGGTCAGAGGCAATGACCTCAAGGTAACCCCGCTATACAAGGGCTCCCCTCGTCCTTTCACAACGTTGCACCAAGCACCACACAAAACCCCAACACCCCAAGAATAAAGCACTATTTGTGACCGCGTATCCCGGTGCTATATACAGGCAAACAGTATGAATGAACGATGTATTTTATGAATGGACAATTTATTTGCATGAGGATGCGTCCTGACCAATCAAATCTAGCCCTTCAGCCAATCCCAGCAATGGTATGGCTCTGCAGGAGCTGCTCAGCGCAGCTATCTTCCATGATTCAACGAGCGCTGACAAGGTGACAACAGGTCCTGCTGAGAGAACAATGGACTAAGTTCATCGAAACCTCATTACCTTGTAATCCACTCATAAAACTGGATCCAAAGTAGCGAGGCCAAGTCAAGTCATTTCCGAACCCACTGTCTGTATTGTGAATAGCCAAAAGCGCTTAGAAATTCATAGAAAATCACTGGTTTCAACAATTCTCTTCATTCCACCACCAATTTGCGTTATTGGCTAAGGGCTTGGAAACCACTCTGTCCCCGCCATAATCCCTCAAGTGGGAGGTCACGTACTCATAGGAAGGTACTCATTTGTGACAATCGCTGGGCAAAAGCTCTCCTCCGGACTTGCCCAGGTGCCAGACTATGCAAACCAAAGTTCTATTGTTCTTTTGCAGTAGGAGCTTGGAATGTACTTCCCAATACATAGCCTGTATTTGCCTGTTCCCCTGACACATTCCTCCTATGTGAATCATGTATAACCCTCCCCTTTTCTGATGTAGTGATTATGCTCCACGAACTGCATGCTGGGATAAGATAAAAACTTTTAAAAGTCCTCGTCACCCCATCCTCAGGGTACAATTCCCCTTTGGACCTGTTGCGTAATAAACTTTGGTCTACAGCTATTTGCTCTGGTTGGTGGCTGGACTTCTACTTCTTCAGTAATAGTTTACTGAGCTTTCAAAGCATACAGCTCTCACTGGGTCCCCAGTGATGGACAAAACTTAGCTCCTGAGAGCAAACCCAGTTTCAGCAGTAGAAAAATACAGCACACAGGATATCTAAGTCAGGCACACAAACCGGCAGAAGGGAGCAAGGGAAGAAAGAGGCTGGAAGGACACAGGGCAATGGATGTGTGTCTTTCACTTCCTGTCGCCTGGAGAGAAGTCAGCAATTCAGCATCTGCAGGGGCATCATGAAGAAAAGCTTTCTGCCGGCAGCTTCCAGGCAAATGAGCATCCTGAAAACACACACTGTGATTCTTGGTGTGTTGCCATATCAATTGTTTTTGAAAGGTTATCATGATGTGGTCTAGAAACCAGTTTGGACAATATATTACCCAGCCCTAATCCTCACTGACCACCAGCAATCCAGACAAACCCTCTCCCCTTCTCTATCGAAAGGTACTTCACTTTTTGCAGTCTTTTTATTTAAACTGCTTCTCCTCTTTGAGTCTGTTGATGGTTTGTAGGGTTTCAACTCCTAAAGTTCTTCCTGTCCATGAATCTGTTAATTTAGAATTTCCACCCGGACTGAACCTCTATTTACTTTCTTGATATTTATAAGGTTTGTGTTTTGTGTGAGTTTCTTCACATAAATCAAGGGTTCCACTCTGACTGGAGCTCCTTCCACAGTCCATACATTTAAACAGTTTCTCCACTGTGTGTCTGCTGATGTTTTCTAAGATTTCCATTCTGACTGAAGCTCTTTCCGCACTCCAGGCATTTAAATGGTTTCTCCCCCGTGTGAGTCCGTTGATGTTTTCTAAGGGTTGCATTTAAATTAAAGCTCTTTCCACACTCCATACATTTAAATGGTTTCTCCCCCGTGTGAGTCCGTTGATGCATTCTAAGGGTTGCATTGAAACTAAAGCTCTTTCCGCACTCCATACATTTAAATGGTTTCTCTCCTGTGTGAGTCTGTTGATGTATATTGAGGTGTGCACTCTGACTGAAGCTCTTTCCACACTCCATACATTTATATGGTTTCTCTCCTGTGTGAGTCCGTTGATGTGTTCTAAGTTTTCCATTATCACTAAAGCTCTTTTCACACTCTATACATTTAAATGGTTTCTCTCCTGTGTGAATCCGCTGGTGTAATTTAAGGACTCCATTCTGACTGAAGCACTTTCCACACTCCAGGCATTTAAATGGTTTCTCCCCTGTGTGAGTCCGTTGATGTCTTCTAAGGTGTCCATTCTCACTGAAACACTTTTCGCACTCCAGGCATTTAAATGGTTTCTCCCCTGTGTGAGTCCGTTGATGTTTTCTAAGGGTTGCATTGAAACTAAAGCTCTTTCCACACTCCATGCATTTAAATGGTTTCTCTCCTGTGTGAATCCGTTGATGTTTTTTAAGGGTTCCATTCTCACTAAATCTCTTACCGCACTCCATGCATTTAAATGGTTTCTCCCCTGTGTGAGTCCGTTGATGTTTTCTAAGGGTTGCATTGAAACTAAAGCTCTTTCCACACTCCATGCATTTAAATGGTTTCTCTCCTGTGTGAATCCGTTGATGTATTCTAAGGGTTCCATTCTCACTAAATCTCTTACCGCACTCCATGCATTTAAATGGTTTCTCCCCTGTGTGAGTGCGTTGATGTTTTTTAAGGGTTCCATTATCACTAAAGCTCTTTCCGCACTCCATACATTTAAATGGTTTCTCTCCTGTGTGAATCCGCTGGTGTAATTTAAGGACTCCATTCTGACTGAAGCACTTTCCACACTCCAGGCATTTAAATGGTTTCTCCCCTGTGTGAGTCTGTTGATGTTTTCTAAGTTTTCCATTATCACTAAAGCTCTTCCCACATTCCATACATTTATATGATTTCTCCCCTGTGTGAATCCGCTGGTGCAATTTAAGGTCTCCATTCTGACTGAAGCACTTTCCGCACTCCAGGCATTTAAATGGTTTCTCCCCTGTGTGAGTCCGTTGATGTGTTCTAAGAGTTCCATTTAAACTAAAGCTCTTTCCGCACTCCAGGCATTTAAATGGTTTCTCCCCCGTGTGAGTCCGTTGATGTGTTCTAAGTTTTCCATTCTCACTAAAGCTCTTTCCGCACTCCAGGCATTTAAATGGTTTCTCCCCTGTGTGAGTCCGTTGATGTATATTGAGGTGTCCACTCTGACTGAAGCACTTTCCACACTCCATACATTTATATGGTTTCTCCCCTGTATGAATCCGTTGATGTGTTCTAAGGTCTCCATTCTGAGTGAAACTCTTTCCACACTCCATACATTTATATGATTTCTCTCCTGTGTGAGTCCTTTGATGTATATTGAGGTGTCCACTCTGACTGAAGCTCTTTCCGCACTCCATACCTTTAAATGGTTTCTCCCCTGTTGGAGGTTGTTCAATGAAGCATATTCCACATTTCACACATTTTAATGTCTATTCCTAATGAAATGAAAGGTGCCCCATTCCCTGGAGTTTTGACTGTCTTCTCCATTTCCTTCTTCAGAGTGGGAGGAAAGGAAATCCTGTTTTGGTTTCAAGGAAGAAAACTGAGGGAAAGAGAACACATCAAGCTCCATTAGCACCTTCTGCTATTTCAACGTCTCGTACACTCCCTCACCTCCTACCCATGTTCCCAATTTTTAGGAAATGAAGTTGCCATGTCAAATGATAGTAATTCATGAGCAACTTTCAAAATCCTCAATCAATGTTCATAAAGCAGCTTGATTTTTTAAAGAATGATGTGCTGTCTGATCTCGTGCCCGTCTTCTGATGCAGAACTATCCTAAAATGACACTGAAAAGCAGTTACAGATAGGTAGCCGTGTTGGTCTGCCATAGTCAAAACAAAAAAATTCCTTCCAGTAGCACCTTAAAGACCAACTAAGTTACTTCTTGGTATGAGCTTTCGTGTGTATGCAGATACCTGAAGAAGTGTGCATGCACACGAAAGCTCATACCAAGAACTAACTTAGTTGGTCTTTAAGGTGCTACTGGAAGGAATTTTTTTGTTTTGACTGAAAAGCAGGATATTCAAGGCAAATAGATAAACTGTAATTAATGGAATATGTAGTACCTTGAATATGTACTAATGATTTATTGATGGACTGAAATTGTGTTATTACTGGGGACATGAATTTATTCCTGTTCTGTCTTAAATATCATAATCATACAATCTCATGGGGTGTTAGGGGAGCGTTAGTACCTTTGGTGGGGGTCTTGTCATGCATCTTATGGGGTAATCTACCCACCACTGGTCCCCACCCTGCACTCAGCTCTCACCTGTTTCTTCCAGAAGCTGTCAGCATGCAACAGGGGCCATAATCCCAGGAATGGCTTCAAACGGCTGGCTAAACCAGGTGAGGATACCTGAAGGGTCTCAAATCCTTGGTGGGTTGGGGAATTCTGCTGCAGGTGAAGGCAGGCCCTGGTGGATGGAGAGGAGGAGAACAACAGTGAATCTCACAGTCAAGAAGGCAGATTCTGCCCATTCTGCAGAGGAAAGTGAAGGGCAGATGGGGCTCGTTAACCAGGGAAGGAAGCCCATCGAGAAGGAAACCTCTGGTCATAATACTTTGCTGCCTCGTGAGTTATTTTCAGGAGACGAAAAGGCAATTTAGGGAAACCTATACAAATCCAGAGTGGAGTCTCTAAGAGGGTTGGATTCTGTCCTGCACACCTCTTTCCACCCACTCCTGCAGCCAAGCTGGTGCCTAACGGTCTGCTCTGCTTTCCTTGGGAACATATTAGCCAGGCTGAGAAGGGGGTCTTGTTGTCTAGGCAGCCCAGGACCCCCGAAACACACTGCCCAGGCAATGCTGCTAACACAGCAGTTTCAGCGGGAGAGATGAGCTCAAACCTGTGTATCAAATAATAATAATAATAATGATAATTTATTATTTATACCCTGCCCATCTGGCTGGGCCTCCCCAGCCACTCTGGGCGGCTTCCATAAAAACCACAAATACAGTAAAATATCACACGTTAAAAACTTCCCTGAACAGGGCTGCCTTAAGATGTCTTCTGAATGTCAGATAGTTGATTATCGCTTTGATATCTGCTGGAAGGGCGTTCCACAGGGTGGGTGCCACTACCGAGAAGGCCCTCTGCCTGGTTCCCTGTAGCTTTGCTTCTCGCCATGAGGGAACCGCCAGAAGGCCCTCGGCGCTGGACCTCAGCGTCCGGGCAGAATGATGGGGGTGGAGACGCTCCTTCAAGTATACTGGACCGAGGCCATTTAGGGCTTTAAAGGTCAGCACCAACACTTTGAATTGTGCTCGGAAACGTACTGGGAGCCAATGTAGGTCCTTCAAGACCGGTGTTATATGGTCTCGGCGGCCGCCCCCAGTCACCAGTCTAGCTGCCGCATTCTGGATTAGTTGTAGTTTCTGAGTCACCTTCAAAGGTAGCCCCATGTAGAGTGCATTGCAGTAGTCCAAGCGGGAGATAACCAGAGCATGTACCACTCTGGTGAGACAGTCTGCAGGCAGATAGGGTCTCAGCCAGATGGAGCTGGTAAACAGCTGCCCTGGACACAGATTTGACCTGTGCCTCCATGGACAGCTGTGAGTCCAGAATGACTCCCAGGCTGTGCACCTGGTCCTTCAGGGGCACAGTTACCCCATTCAGGACCAGGGAATCCTCCACACCTGCCTGCGTCCTGTCCCCCAAAAACAGTACTTCTGTCTTGTCAGGATTCAACCTCAATCTGTTAGCTGCCATCCAACCTCCAACCGCCTCCAGGCACTCACACAGGACCTTCACTGCCTTCACTGGTTCTGATTTAAAAGAGAGGTAGAGCTGGGTATCATCTGCATACTGATGAACACCCAGCCCAAATCCCCTGATGATCTCTCCCAGCGGCTTCATGTAGATGTTGAAAAGCATGGGGGAGAGGACCGAACCCTGAGGCACCCCACAAGTGAGGGCCCAGGGGTCTGAACACTCATCCCCCACCACCACTTTCTGAACACGGCCCAGGAGGAAGGAGCGGAACCACTGTATAACAGTGCCTCCAGCTCCCAGCTCCTGAAGACGGTCCAGAAGGATGTTATGGTCGATGGTATCAAACGCCGCTGAGAGATCCAGCAGAACTAGGAAACAGCTCTCACCTTTGTCCCTAGCCCGCCGGAGATCATCAACCAATGCAACCAAGGCAGTTTCAGTCCCATGATGAGGCCTGAATCCCGACTGGAAGGGATCCAAATGGTCTGCTTCTTCCAGGTGTGCCTGGAGTTGTTCGGCAACCGCTCACTCAATCACCTTGCCCAAGAATGGAAGATTTGAGACTGGGCGATAGTTGGCCATCGTGGCCGCATCTAAAGATGGTTTTTTAAGAAGCGGTTTAATAACCGCCTCTTTCAGCGGGTCTGGGAAGGCTCCCTCACGGAGGGAAGCATTCACCACCCCACGAAGCCCATCGCCCAGTCCTTCCCGGCTAGCTTTTATAAGCCAGGATGGGCAAGGATCCAGGAGACAGGTGGTTGGTTTCACTCGTCCAAGCAGCCTGTCCACATCCTCGGAGGTAACAGATTGGAATTGATCCCACTCAACTTGACTAGACAGAACTCTAGCACTCTCCCGCCCCGGCCCTGCTCCCACGGTGGAGTCTACTTCTTCCCGAATCTGAGCAATTTTATCTGCAAAAAACTTTGCAAAATCATTGCAGGGGAACATGTGGCCCGTACTGGGCCCCGATGTTGCAGGTGGTTCCGCTAAATTGTGAACCACCTGAAAAAGTCTCCTGCTGCTGTTTTCTGCAGATGCAATAGAGGCGGCGAAGAAATTCTTCTTCGCCGTCCCTATCGCCACTTGGTAGGCTCGACGTTGAGCTCTAACCTGTGTCCGGTCAGATTCAGAATGAGTTATCCGCCACCGGCGCTCTAGCCGTCTCAACGATTGTTTCATTGCCCTCAGCTCCGTGGAAAACCACGGGGCTGTCCGGGCTCCATGCAATCGGAGAGGGCGCTTCGGAGCCAAACAGTCAATAGCCCTGGTTAACTCCACATATCAAAGTCTCTCCGATGTGGAACAAGGAATACAGAATCGCTATGTACATCATATGTCACTCTAAAAGTATTCAAAATATTTGCCTTTTGAAGAAAAGACCACCAAGTATCCGGTGGCCCCTTCAAAGCTAATGAAAATATTGTGCCTGGAGCTTTTGGGGGTGCAGGAGCAGGAAAGCTTCTTCCACCATGATCCTTCCAGTTGGGATTCAGGCCTCATCATGCGACAGAAACTGCCCTGGTTGTGCTGCTTGATGGTCTCCGATGCGCTAGAGTTTGAGGGGAAAGCTGTTTCCTGGTTCTGTTGGATCTCTCAGTGGCTTTGGAGACCTTTGGCCATGGTGTCCTTCTGGACCCTCTAGGAGAGCTGGGGAAATGGTTATGCAGTGGTTCCCCTCCTTCCTCCTGGGCCATGTCCAGAAAGTGGTGTTGGGGGATGAGTGTTCAGACCCCTGGGCTCTCACTTGTTGGGTGCCTCAGGGCTCTGTCCTCTCCCCCATGCTTTTTAATATCTATATGAAGCTGCTGGGAGAGATCATCAGGGGTTTTGGGGTGGGTGTTCACGAATATTTGGGTGATACCCAGATCTTCTTCTCATTTTATTAAGAACCAGTGAAGGTGGTGAATGCACTGTGTTGGTGCCTGGAGGTGGTTTGAAGATGGATGGTGGCTAACAGATTGAGCTTGAATCCTGACAAGACAGAAGTACTGTCCCTGGGGAACAAGGGGATGGGCAGGTGTGGGGGACCCCCTGGTCCTGATGGGGCAACTCTGCCCCTAAATAACCAGCCTAGGGGTCATTTAGGACTCACAGCTGACCAAGGAGGTGCAGATCACTTCTGTGTCCAGGGCAGCTGTCTAGCATCTCCATCTGGAATGCAGGCTGAGACCCTCCTTCCCCGCAGACTGTCTCGCTAGAGCGGTGCATGCTCTGGTTATTTCCAGCTTGGACTACTGCTTTGTGGTCTAGATGGGACTCCATTTGAAGGTGACCCAAAACTGCAACTGCATGGGAGCAGCGCCGAGACCACATATCACTTCCTCTAAAGGATCTTACCTGGCTCTAAGCAGATTTTCAAGCACATTTTACACTGTTGGTGCTGACCTTTAAAGTGTCATGGTTGCATTTTCCAGGCAAAGAAAAGTATTGATCTAATGCAGGCTTCCTGAAACTCGGCAGTTTCTTTTTGCTGAGAGCTGGTGGTGGGATAAGTTGCGATGAGGTTATGAAGAACCTTTCTTGTTTTGGGGAACCAGATGAAGCTGGTTTAAACTGGAGTGAGCCAGGCTTGTTATCCAGTCCCAAGGTTACTCTGACATTGAATTGTTTATAAATTACAGTATTGAAAGGCGCCTGGTCCCACTTCCTAGTCTGCTATTTCTCTACTCTGCTTGTGTGATTCTTACTTGAGTGCTGTTTTGGTATGCTAAGTTAGGGTTTTATGTAAGTTAAGTTTTTGCTATTTTTTTTTATCCTGTTATGTTTCTTTGCCTTCAGTAATATTTTTTTTTGCTGAAATAGATCGTTATGGAGCAGCAAGATCTGCAACCTAAAGCCCTCAACAGCCTCAGCCCTGTAGGCCTCAAGGAGCATCTCCACCAACATCGCTCAGTCTGGACAGGGAGGTCCTCCTTCGAAGATCTTCTGCTGATTCCCCTCCTGCAAGAAGCGAAGTTACAGGGAAGCAGGCAGAGGGCGAGGAAATGGGCAACATTCTGACATTTAGAAGACAGCTGAAGGCAGCCCTGTATCGGGAGGTTTTTAATGTCTGATGTTTTACTGTCTTTTCTTTGTACTGGAACCAGGCAGTGGAAGAGAAACTTAAAGATGGAAGCCCGAGAGAGAGGAAAAGGTTTCTGGCTGCTTCCTGGGTGGGATTGTGGAAACGAAGAGCTGCTTCTGAGAAGGCCTCTCCCTTCCCCTCTTCCTGGACAGGGCAGGAGCTTATGGGGGCTCATGGGGTGGGAAGAGGATGGAGCTTGCAGGAAGGAAGGGGTGGGGGACATGACCCCAAACTTTCCAGGGATCCCTCTCTGGTCACCTTGAAGGGGTGGATGATTCTTGGGCGGGAGGGAGAAGCCAGAGAATCCCTGCAGGTGCCACCATGGAGAAGTCTCCCCAAAGACGGTTTCTTATCCCCCCCAATGCTGCACTTCCATGCCCCAGGGATGCTCCCCTCCCCACTTCCTCGACTCCCTCTGTCCCAGAGTCTCCCCTGCACCCAGAGGCCCCCTTTAGCGCGGCTCACCCCTCACCCCCCATCTTTCCATCCTGAGGGTCCACCCCAAGACGCACAGATTAGGGACAGGGGGGTCTCTATCCAGGCGTCCCTCACGCCCGTTAACCCTTTCATGGCCCACCTTTATCCGTGTGGAGCCTACAGGGCCCCAGGGATGCCATTGCAGGGAAACGGGGACCCCCTGCGTAGGTTCCCCATGTCCACCGCTGCCAAGGCGCCTAAGAGGCCAAGGAAAGCCCCATTCGCAGCACGCGCGCAGGGATCCAGGCCCCACGGAAGGCGGTTGGGGAGCTGGTGGGGGTCTCTGAATCCTTTTCTCCCCTCCCCCCCGTGACCCCTTTACCTCTTTGTCCTCGCTCCTGATTCTCTTTTCCTTTCCTGCAACGTCGACGTGGGGGAGGGGGTCCCCTCCCATGATGCCCCGCCTCCCCTTTCCAAAAGAGCGCTCCCCTAGAGCTACGCCACAGAGCAGCAATCCGGCGTAGAAGCTCCACTTCCGGGAGAAGCAGGCCGTTTGGGAGGGAGCTCACCCCCCCATTCCCGGAACAGAAGCCGAATGGTGAGGAGGAGGAAGAGGAGGAGAGAAATGGGTGCAACGGATGGGGGCGGGATTTGGGGTTGTGGGGTGAGAGAAGGATGTGCCGGGAGGGGAGGAATTGAGGGGGGGGAGAGACAGGAAGGTGTTACCCCTCCCTTCTTTCTTCTGGGGATCAAGAGAGCGGGGGAGGGGCTGATCCCGGCAATCCACTCGCAAAGTGGGGTCTCGCACCCCAAAATGTTTACATTGCAAAATCCTTCCCTCCACCACCCCACACCACGAGATTAGACCCACGGCCTAGGACCCTCGTACCTACGGGACCGCCTCGCCTGGTATGCCCCACGGAGAGCCTCAAGGTCCATAAATAACAACACCCTAGTGGTCCCAGGCCCTAAGGAAGTTAGATTGGCTTCAACCAGAGCCAGGGCCTTTTCAGCACTGGCCCCAACTTGGTGGAACGCTCTGTCTCATGAGACCAGGGCCCTGCAGGATCTGATTTCTTTCCGCAGGGCCTGTAAGACAGAGTTGTTCCGCCTGGCCTTTGGATTGGAGCCAATTTGATTCCCTCCCCCCCTTTTTTCTTTTCCTTCTCCTGCAATGAGGCTTCATTTTAATATTTTAATGTTCCATTATTTTAATGTTGTATTTTATTTTTGTTTTTAAGTTTTAATCACTCATCTTGTTTTTATTATTGCTTGTAAGCCGCTCTGAGCCTGGCCTTGGCTGGGGAGGGCGGGGTATAAATAAAAAATTATTATTATTATTATTATTAGATCTGTCCGTGTTTTAGGTACTGGTGTACATTGAGCAGCGGCTTGGACTCTGTGACTCCTGTGTTACGGGAAAAAATGGGGCTCTGACTTTTGCACACGCGCGCACGCACACACACACACACGAGACATCCAGGTAAAATTCATCCCTTGTGTCTCCCATCAGAGGTAACACAATGAGGCCAATAAGAAAGCAAGGCCAGCTGTTGATCTGTTTGCGGGCAGAGGCTCCCCCCCCCCCGCAATGCAAGGAATAAAGTAATCTGGTCTCTGTGGCGGTTTATTTTGTGGGGGAAATCCTAAAAAAAACACTTTCTTACCGGAAAAATCCAAGGGCTCCCTTGGACAAAAAGTAAAGACACCAACCAGAGTAAATTGAAGCAAATCAGCAGCCTGTAGGCTTGGTCTTTACTTGAAGAAAGACTGTCGCGACAGGGTGCTCCCCTCACTTGCAGGTGAGAGGAAAGACACAGAAAAATGGTGTGCAAGGTCTTATAAAAACTTTTGAAATTCCCCTCCTCTAGGTCAAGCCCACCCCCCAGAAACATCATGCATACATTACAGAAAGGAGGGGTTGAGGGAGGAGTTGTGGTGGTAACCTGAGTGTCCTGTCACCTGGCTGGTTCCCTTCTCTCCCCCTCCCCACGAGTCTCTTCCAGGAGACAAAGGGGAGTTGGCAGTTTCCTGCTCCCAGAGGGAAGATCTGATCATTGTCCTTTGTTCCAGTCCATGCTGAATCCACTCCCATATGCAAGTTCTTTGTGATCTTGATGGTCTTCTGTCTAGGAACATCAGGGTTGGCATAGCAACTGGGCAGGGCTCCTGTGGATGTGCTGGGATGGTGAAGGGATTATGGCTGCCCTGTATCAAACCTTCCCCATTTTGTAGTCCTTCCTTCATGGAGTAAAATAAAAGTACAGTGGTGCCCCGCAAGACGAACGCCTCGCAAGACAGAAAACCCGCTAGACAAAAGGGTTTTCCATTTTGGAGGCGCTTCGCAAAACGAATTTCCCTATGGGGTTGCTTCGCAAGACGAAAAAATCTTGCGCGTCCCCGCGGGTTTTTTCCGCTCCCCCCCTTTTCCTAAGCCGCTAAGCCGCCTATCAGCTGTTCCGCTGATAACCCGCTTAACAGCTGATCACGAAAAGCCGCTAGACCGCTGTAGCGCTAATCCGCTAAGCTGTCAATGGGCTTGCTTCACAAGACGAAAAAACCGCTAGACAAAGAGAATCACGGAACGGATTCTTTTCGTCTTGCGAGGCACCACTGTAGAACAGTGCAAATCCGATGCATGGTTGATTTTCTATGAATTTATAACAGAAGTGTAGCGTATGTAGTGTGTGAGTGTCAGTGTCAGTGTGTGTGAAGTTTGTACAAACTGGATGATGGGGGGGGTTCCTGCTACACAAATAATCTGTTTTCATTTATTTAATCCGTTTTTCCATGATGTCTATGATATTAATCGAAGCACAGCCAAACATTGTTTGTGGAATGTTATTTGTTTACCTTTTGCCTGAGCATTTCTTATTAATTCTGTCATGTTGGCTAGTTCAAGGTACTTGCACAACTTTAAATTGCCATTCATTTTTTCTTGGTATTAAGTCATTTCCCAGTATTTTGCTATTAACATTCTATCCGATGTTGTCACATCAAGAAACACTCTTTTATTTTCATTTGGGATGTTAGAATGCCAAAACAGGTTACTTCAGGTTTCTTAAAAATTGTGTGTCTTAGCATTTATTTATTTTTGGTTCCTCATAGGTCATTGTGTGTGTGTGTGTGTGTGTGTGTGTGTGTGTATGTGTGTGTTTTTTACTTTGAGGACATGTCAATCACATGTTGAAAGTCATTTTCATCAAGTTCTACTTATCAGATAGCGCATGCTGAATTTTAAGCCTTTTTCCATTCCCCCCCCCATTTTTAGTCCAGTAGTAATCTGTGTGGTTTTGACAATATCTTTATATTATTTAATAATAATTATTTTCTGAATCTGATGTCTTTGCGTCAACCCTGTTTTCATCTGACTGGTAATCTAATTTTTTGCTTTCTTTTTATTTATTTTAACCTTTCTTGTATTTTTTTACAGTTCTCTTTCTCTACATGTGGAGTAATTTTTTTATTTAATAATATGGAAGGGGGAAAAAACCAAAGTGAAGGAAAGCAAACAAACTTAGCAGATAATAACAGTAATTATATGAAAATGTAATAATAATATTGAAATGAATAAAATGCTTAATCCGCTAAGATTTTTATTTGCAGCTTCGCACGGAAACTGAAGGACATCCTTTTTGCCTTTCGCCCTTTCCCTTTTCTAACTCTGTCTTTTAAGTCCCCAAAACCCTGCCCCTTACAGGATATCACTTCTACAAATGTGTTACTACAGATCCAATGAAAAGCTTCGCCACCACAAGACCTGCAACAACAACAGACACCAAAGTTTTCAAAGTGGCCACAGCAATTTCTTTCAAAGGGGAAGTGGGGCTGACAAAGGGGGAAGGAGTTGAATTGCAAGGACATTTTCTCACTTTTGAACCTTAAGACCTCCAGGATTGAGAAGATCACAATTGTCTCAAGATATGCAACTGATATTTAATTAGTTTTTTTGTATTATGTGTTATTACGTAGGAATGTTGAAATGTGTCTGACAGTGTGTTATTTCCACAAGGGGGGGGGAGCTATTTTTGTGTGTTATTGTTTTTATCTTTAATGTCTTATTCCTTACACCCCAGTGGAGGATTCTCATACATTTTATGCTTTTTTAACAGATCAGGCTATTATGTAGTCCAATGTTTAGAATTAGATAAATTTATAACCACATTTCGTTGTTTCACCTGGCACTCTGCAAACTTCCCTACCCATTTTAAAAAAATGTGCCAAAACTCACTTTACGAAGGAGAAGCTTCAGGAAGGTGTATATGCTTTGGTTTAGCAGAAATAATCCCTTATAGAGTTAAATTGACTTATTTGGACAAGTGCCCTTTAAGAATGGTTTTGTTTTAACAGATTCGTTTGAAAAGTTGAGAACATTGGGGCAAGATAAATTCAAATTGGACTCAGTTTGAATTGGGCAAGTGTATCCAGGCTGCAATTAGCTTTTGGTCCTTAAAGTGCAAGTGAGCAACTTCCCATGACTGCAAGACCAGAGCCTATAATAATAAAATCCCATGGAATGGCCAAGGCAAAGACATTTCTCTCATGACGTGTCCAAACCTGTGCCAGCTGTGGTGAGTGCCAGGCAACATGGTCAATATGAAAGCCCTAAGTGAATTCACCAGGGATTGCCACTACTGTGACACCATGCCGGTGTGAGACCACAGAAGAGCTACCTTGACACCTGAGAACACAAAAATGGCGGGGGGCATAGCAAACTGCATTTTTCAGTCATTAGTGGACCTTCCTGCTAAATGCAAAGCATAGACCACTATTGAGAAAATATTTCTTCCAAGGTGCTAGAATACCACAAGTAACTGAGCAACAAAATATTAATTTTATGTCTAACTATGTGCACTGTTACACTATTATATTTCTATGCAAATATCCTTTAGAATCGTGACATCCAAGTCCCTTTCAGGTTCACATGGACACACACATCTGGGACGGAGAATAGCAGGTTAATATTTACCACCTTAAATTGTGTGGAGAAAAGGATTGCAAAGTAGCCACCTTTGCAATCTTATCTCCGAAGGGGGGAACTGTAGCAGGAACCCCCCCATCATCCAGTTTGTACAAACTTCACACACACTCACACTCACACACTACATACGCCACACTTGTGTTGTTTGGAGATCACACATGGTGGTGGTGAGAAAGTTTGGTGCAAAAACCAGTCACACAAATATGCACCAATTTTTCATGCTTGAGTACAGCAGTTTCAGCAGTAAACAAATACAGCACACAGGATATCTAAGTCAGGCAGACAAACCGGCAGAAGGGAGCAAGGCAGGAAGGAGGCTGGAAGGACGCAGAGCAATGGAGGTGTGTCTTTCGCTTCCTGTCGCCTGGGAGGGAAGTCAGCAACTCAGCATATTCAGGGGCTTCACGAAGCAAAGCTTTCTGCCAGTGGCTTCCAGGCAAATGAGCATCCTGGAAACACACACTGTGATTCTTGGTGTGTTGCCATATCAATTGTTTTTGAAAGGTTATCATGATATGGTCTAGAAACCAGTTTGGACAATATATCGCCCAGCCCTAATCCTCATTGACCACCAACAATCCAGACAAACACTCTGCCCTTCTCTATCAAAAGGCACTTTACATCTTAGATCATAATCACATTGTTTGACATTGCCTTCAATATTTTATTACGATAGAGTTTTACACATAAAAAACCAGAAGTTCACATACACAACATGTGTTAAAGACTTATTTCCTCCTGAGTTCATTTCTATGAAGAAAAGAGTGGACTCTGAGAGGAAGACCTCCAACACTCCATACATCTAAATGGGTTTTTGCATCTGAGAGTTTCTGGATTTTCCTTAAACACTACATTGTAAATAAAGAACTTTTTGCAATCTTTCCATTTAAACTGCTTCTCCTCTTTGAGTCTGTTGATGGTTTGTACGGTTTCAACTCCAAAGGTTCTTCCTGTCCGTGAATCTGTTGATTTAGAATTAACACCAAGACTGAACCTCTATCGACTTTCCTGATATTTATAAGGTTTGTGTTTTGTGTGAGTTTCTTCACATAAATCAAGGGTTCCACTCTGACTGGAGCTCCTTCCACAGTCCATACATTTAAACAGTTTCTCCCCTGTGTGTCTGCTGATGTTTCCTAAGATTTCCATAATGACTGAAGCTCTTTCCGCACTCCATACATGTAAATGGTTTTTCCCCCGTGTGAGTCCGTTGATGTTTTCTAAGGTCTCCATTCTGACTGAAGCAATTTCCGCACTCCATGCATTTAAATGGTTTCTCCCCTGTGTGATTCCGTTGATGTTTTTTAAGAGTTCCATTATCACCAAAGCTCATTCCGCACTCCATGCATTTAAATGGTTTCTCCCCTGTGTGAGTCCGTTGATGTTTTTTAAGGGTTCCATTATCACTAAAGCTCTTTCCGCACTCCATACATTTAAATGGTTTCTCTCCTGTGTGAATCCGCTGGTGTAATTTAAGGACTCCATTCTGACTAAAGCACTTTCCGCACTCCATGCATTTATATGGTTTCTCCCCCGTGTGAGTCCGTTGATGTTTTCTAAGGTCTCCATTCTGACTGAAGCAATTTCCGCACTCCAGGCATTTAAATGGTTTCTCCCCTGTGTGAGTCCGTTGATGTATATTGAGGTGTCCACTCTTACTGAAGCTCTTTCCGCACTCCATACATTTAAATGGTTTCTCCCCTGTGTGAGTCCTTTGATGTGTTCTAAGGGATGCATTGAAATTAAAGCTCTTTCCGCACTCCAGGCATTTAAATGGTTTCTCCCCTGTGTGAGTCCGTTGATGTATATTGAGGTGTCCACTCTGACTGAAGCTCTTTCCGCACTCCATACATGTAAATGGTTTTTCCCCCGTGTGAGTCCGTTGATGTTTTCTAAGGTCTCCATTCTGACTGAAGCAATTTCCGCACTCCATGCATTTAAATGGTTTCTCCCCTGTGTGAGTCCGTTGATGTTTTTTAAGAGTTCCATTATCAGCAAAGCTCATTCCACACTCCATGCATTTAAATGGTTTCTCCCCTGTGTGAGTCCGTTGATGTTTTTTAAGGGTTCCATTAACACTAAAGCTCTTTCCGCACTCCATACATTTAAATGGTTTTTCTCCTGTGTGAATCCGCTGGTGTAATTTAAGGACTCCATTCTGACTAAAGCACTTTCCGCACTCCATGCATTTAAATGGTTTCTCTCCTGTGTGAATTCGCTGGTGTAATTTAAGGTCTCCATTCTGACTGAAGCAATTTCCGCACTCCAGACATTTAAATGGTTTCTCCCCTGTGTGAGTCCATTGATGTTTTTTAAGGTTCCCATTATAACTAAAGCTCATTCCGCACTCCATGCATTTAAATGGTTTCTCTCCTATGTGAATTCGCTGGTGTAATTTAAGGACTCCATTCTGACTGAAGCACTTTCCGCACTCCATACATTTAAATGGTTTCTCTCCTGTGTGAATTCGCTGGTGTAATTTAAGGACTCCATTCTGACTGAAGCACTTTCCGCACTCCATGCATTTATATGGTTTTTCCCCTGTGTGAGTCCGTTGATGTTTTCTAAGCTCTCCATTCTGTCTGAAGCACTTTCCGCACTCCATGCATTTAAATGGTTTCTCCCCTGTGTGAGTTCGTTGATGTGTTCTAAGGTCTGCATTGAAACTGAAGCTCTTTCCACACTCCATACATTTATATGGTTTCTCCCCTGTGTGAGTTCGTTGATGTGTTCTAAGGTTTGCACCGAAACTGAAGATCTTTCCGCACTCCAGGCATTTAAATGGTTTCTCCCCTGTGTGAGTCCGTTGATGTTTTCTAAGGGATCCACTTTCACTAAAGCTCCTTCCGCACTCCAGGCATTTAAATAGTTTCTCCCCTGTGTGAGTCCGTTGATGTATATTGAGGTGTCCACTCCGACTGAAGCTCTTTCCACACTCCATACATTTATATGGTTTCTCCCCTGTGTGAGTCCGTTGATGTCTTCTAAGGTTTCCATTCTCACTAAAGCTCTTTCCGCACTCCAGGCATTTAAATAGTTTCTCCCCTGTGTGAGTACGTTGATGTAAACTTAAGTGTCCATTCTGACTGAAGCTCTTTCCACAATCCATGCATTTAAAACGTTTCTCCCCTGTGTGAAACTGTTGATGTAAACTTAAGTGTCCATGTTGACTGAAGTTCTTCCTGCGCTCCCTGCATTGGAATTCTTTTTTGCCCATGTTAGTTCGCTGATGTGTTCTAAGTTTTCCACTATCAGTGAAACTTTGCCCACACTCCATACCTTTCAATGGTTTCTCCCCTGTTGGAGGTCGTTGATGTGAGCTATGTGTGCTCATTCAGTGAAGCATATTCCACATTTCACACATTTAAATGTCTATACCTAATGAAACCAAAGTGCCCCATCCCTCAGAATTCTGAATGTCTTCTCCATCCCCTTCTTCAAAGTGGGAGGAAAGGAAATCCTGTTTGGGTTTCAAGGAAGAGAAGAAAGGGGAAGAGAACACAGCAAGCGCCGTTAGCACCTTCTCTTATTTCAGTATCTCCTACATTCCCCTGCCTCCTACCCATGTTCCCAGTGTTTAGGAAATGAAGATGCAATGATGTCAAATGATAGTAATGCATCAGCAACATTTCATAATCCTCAATCATCATTGATAAAGCAGCATGATCTTGGAAAACAGCCTTTTCAAATCAATTGTTTCCTCAAAGGCAAGGCAGCTACTCTCTCTCTCCATGAAAAGGCCCTCTCTCTCTGGTTCATTGTTCCTCTGGACATTCCCCATTGTCTGCATCATAATCCTGCATCCACCTCTAGATCTTTATGAGTCACCTGCACAGTCCCATTGGCCTCAGGAGGTCCATATGAACCATTTTGTGAGACCCAGGTCTACATCACTTCCAGGGACTGTGGTCTGGGTCAGTTAGAGAACTAGTGACAAGGCTTGGTGCTTGGCGTCAGCTGAATGGGTGCTCCGGGAAGCTCCTGTTCTTGGAGATGGACCTCTGTCTACATGCCTTGCATTGCATGGAGAGAGCAGGAGAAGCAGAAGCAAAGCAGCTGGCACATGGGAATCCCAGGCGGAAACACCGACCCAAATGGTTCTTTATAATGAATATGTGCAGCCTGATCCTGTGCTTGCCTTATGACAGAGGACTATCATAATCTGGCACTGAAAAGCAGGATATTCAAGGCGAGGAGATAACTGTACTTAGTGGAAACGTCAACCTTGAATATGTGGTGTTGATTCATTAACAACCTGAAGTTGTGTTATTTCTTGTGATATGAATTTATTCCTGATCTGTCTTAAATATCATAATTATAGGATGTCTTGGGGTGTTAGGGGAGCAGTAGTACCTTTGGTGGAGGAAATGTAGTCCACCTTCTGGAGTAATTATTCCACCATTGGTCCCCACCCTGCACTCAGCTCTCACCTGAGAGAAGCTGTCAGCATTCAAAAGGGCCACAATCCCAGGAACAGTTTCAACCGGCCGGCTAAACCAGGTGAGGATACCTGATGGGTCCCAAATCCTTGGTGGGCTGGGGAATTCTGGAAAACAGAAGCGCTATTTACATCATACGTCACTGTAAAGGTATTCAGAATATTTGTCTTTTGAAGAAAAGACCACAAATCCAATGGCCTCTTGAAAGCGAATGAAAGTCTTGGGCTTGAGCTTTTTGAGGTGCAGGACCAGGAAAGCTTCTGCCACCATTATCCTTCCAATTGGGATTCAGGCCCTGGAAACTGCCCTGGTTGCGCTGCTTGATGATCTCCGATGGGCTAGAGACCAAGGGGAAAGCTCTTTCCTGGTTCTGCTGGATCTCTCAGCGGCTTTGGAGACCTTTGACCATGGTATCCTTCTAGACCCTCTAGGGGAGCTGGGGGCCCTGCTATGCAGTGGTTCCCCTCCTTCCTCCTGAGCCATGTCCAGAAATTGGTGTTGGGGGATGAGTGTTCTGACCCCTGGGTGCTCACTTGTGGGGTGCCTCAGGGCTCCGTCCTCTCCCCATGCTTTTTAATATCTATATGAAGACGCTGGGAGAGATCATCAGGGGGTTTGGGCTGGGTGTTCCCCAGTATGTGGATGATGCCCAGCTCTTCCTCTCTTTTAAATTGGAACCAGTGAAGGTCCTGTGTAAGTGTCTGGAGGCACTTGGAGGATAGATGGCGGCTAACAGATTGAGGTTGAATCTTGATAAGAAAGAAATACTGTCCCAGGGGGACAGGGGGCAGGCAGGTGTGGGAGACTCCCTAGACCTGATGGGGCTAACTGTGCCCCAAAAGGACTAGGTGCACAACCTGGGGGTCATTTTGGACTCACAGCTGTCCATGGAGGCACAGGTCAATTCTGTGCCCAGGGCAGCTGTCTACCAGTTCCATCTGGTATGCCAGCTGAGACCCTCCATGCCTGGAGACTGTCTCCCCAGAGTGGTGCATGCTCTGGTGATCTCCCGCTTGGATTACTGCCATGTGATACATGGGGCTTGAGGAGATTTCACCCCTCCCATTCCAAGAATCTGCTGGTGTTCTCTGCTGATTCTCCAGAAAGGAGGGGGGCGGTTTCTGCTCTCCACTTATTTCGCTCCAGCCTCACAAAAGAGAGAGAGACTGAGTGTTAGAGAGAGAGTGTGTTATCTCTGTATAGATAAGGTTGCTGCTAAGAGCAGCTGCAGACTCTCAGTGCAGTCTAGCTTCTCCATTTAGCTCTGTATAAAATAATGGTTCAGAACTTTATTAGCAAAGCCAACAGGCCACCGCTATACAAGAATTAAAAATAAAATAAAATAAACATAAAGAGGGGATAAAAACAAACAAAAAGAGGTCCGTCAGATGAACACGTCTGTCACTCAGATGGTGGCCCTCAATTTCACAGCTCTCTCGATGTACCTTGCGACCTTCTCTGTTGTCTGACTGTCCGTATCAGATAAGAGAAAGAACAGTATAATGTCTTGTGGACGGCCGGGGTTGGGGAGAATGAGTGGAGTAATAATCTCATTCCTTAGGTCTTTATAAAGGGGGCAGGATAGGAGGACGTGGGACACTGTTTCCGTGTTACCATCTCTACATGGGCAGAGTCGTTTTTCAAATGGAGTCTTTTGGTAACGACCTTCGAGTACGGCAGAGGGAAGAACATCCCATCTAGCCAATGTAAAGGCGCGTCTGTATTTTGGGATGGTTAATTTAGACAAATATGAAGCTGGGAAGTCAAAGTGGGCAGGGGGAAAGTAAGTATACCATGGACACATTTTCTTTAAGATAGTCAGGTTGTTTTGCCGTTCAATGTCTTTCAGGCGCTGGCCTATTAGGCTCTTTGCTTTAATAAGGCCCATTGATAGTAGGGATTGCGAATGCAGACCGCATGTAAGGAGTTTTTGATGCACAGTTTTGAACCACATGCTTTTATGAGGGTCTTGCATTACTAGAGGCAGTAGACCAGGTGGATTTAGATTAAGGCGAAGCCAATAGTTGAGTGTTCTTTGCCAGGTCTGAGTTTCTACAGATGGGAGGCAGGCCTCGAGTCGTAAAGCTGCGTTTGGGACACAGGAGGGGACACCGAATATCTGCCTTAGGAATTTAGACTGAACAGTTTCAAGACTTGAGCAGTGGTTCCCCGTCCAGATTTGTGCCCCATACAGTAACTGCGCCAGAGGTTTTGCCTGAAAGACTTCAAAGGCTGCTGGAATATATCTGCCCCCCTTCGTGTAAAAGAAGCGCGACAGCATCTTAATACTTTGAGCTGCTTTTTCTTTGGCATATTTTTGATGGACATCCCAGGACCCGGACGACTGGAAGACGATACCCAGATATTTAAAGGCTTTAACCTGTTCGATTGTCTGGTTATCCATCCTCCAGCTATACTGTCTGCATTTCCTTCCAAAAACCATGATTTTGGTTTTCTGATAGTTTATTACCAGTTGCTCTCTCCTACAGTATGCTGAAAATTCACCTATGAGCCTATTTAAGCCTATTCTTGTTCGAGATAGGAGTATCGCATCATCAGCATACAAAAGCACGGATATTGGTTTGTCAGCCAGTTTGGGGGCATGGAAGTCCGGAGATGACAAGCAGTTAACCATATCATTGATGTAAAAGTTGAATAGAACTGGGGCCAGGATGCAACCTTGCTTGACCCCCTTGCTGACAGGAACTGGTCCTATAAGATGGCCATTTAACGAAGTTCTTACATACAACACCGTGTCTTTATATAAACAGCTGATCAAAAATAATAGTCTTTTGTCTATACTTGATGCGCTCAATTTGTCCCAGAGTCTTGCACGTGGAATTGAATCGAAGGCAGCCTTTAGATCGATAAAGGCTGCGTATAGCACCCCACGGGATTTTTTGGCATATTTGTCAATTAGGTAGGCTAGGGTGAAGCAATGGTCTATGGTGGATCTGCCTTGCCTGAAACCCGCCTGCTCTTCCGCTAAAATAGCTTCAGTTTCCAGCCAGCTGGTTAGCTTAATATAAAGATGTTTGGCATATAGTTTGCTGGGTATGGGCAGAAGGCTGATTGGTCTATAGCTCGCCGGGTCTGGCATAGGTCCTTTTTTATAGATTGGAATAACTATTGCCTCTGTCCAGCCATCTGGAAGTAGACCCGTTGAGTCAATCCAGGAAAATAGAGATGCCAACAGGGGGGCCCACCAGCCAATGTTAGACTTCAGAAGTTCGGCAGGGATATAATCGTTCCCTGGGGCCTTATTGTTCTTTAATTGTGCGATTAGGTTCTCAACTTCCTTTGCAGTTACTGGTGGCCAATGAGGTAGGTCCTCCAATTGGATGCGTAGTTTATAATGTTGGACTTCCTGGTCATGAAACAAGGATTGAAAATGACGCAACCACTCCATTGGTTCCACTGTACAGATGGAATTGGTGCGCTCCTGGTCCAGTAGACCAGATATGGTTCGCCAAAAGCAAGTAGTATCTTTCTCGTGCGATGCCTTAACCAAGCTTTGCCATGCGGCTCGTTCAGCTTCCAATTTCTTTCTCCTTAGTAATTGTTTGTAGGACTGTCTCACATAAATATAAGCATTAAGTAGGGTGGCAGTCCCTAATTTCCTATATCTCTGGTAGGCTGTTCTCGTTTGTCTCCTTGTTTGCCTGCACTCCAGGTCAAACCAGCTAGCTCCGTCCTTTGCCCTCTTTGTGGCGGAGCTGTGTATCGCTGTTGTTAAGTGGGATTTCAGTCTTTCCAAAAGTAATTTGAAGCGTTCCATGATCGCGTCTACTGAATTGCCTGTCACAATAGCGGATCGAATAAGCTTTAACTCTGCTGACTGAAGGAGGAGGGTTAGATTTTCATTCAATATTGGGGACCATTTGAGTCTTTTGGGAGCAAGTATACCCAAGTTTACAGAAGGTATATATTGTGGCTCGGCAATAGAATAGTCAGCTGCAGACTCTCAGTGCAGTCTAGCTTCTCCATTTAGCTCTGTATATAGTTTGTATGATAGTTGTAGATAGAATAAAAGTAGTTATTCTACAGAGCTGTTCTCCGAGTGGTTTATGCTCTGCTGTACTCTGCTGTGCAACGACTGCCTTCGGGAGTGAATCTGGTGCTCACAACTCTGAGTTGTGAGTCCACAGCACTTTGACCTGTTCCTGTGCAGAAGGTCTCTGGAAGTGCTACCCCAGCTTGCCTGGCCCAGTCGGGGCTGAAGTGGATGAGTCCAGTCGGTGGCACTGGCTCAAGGGTGATGCTGACAGGGCTACCTTTGAAGGTGACCCGGAAACTGCAACTAATCCAGAATGTGGCTGGTAGAGAACAGAATGGGAGACCAGCTGAGACAACATAACACCAGTCCGAAAGGATCCTCACTGACTCCCAGTACATTTCTGAGCACAATTCGCAATGTTGGTGCTGACCATTAAATTGCCGTGGTTGCATGTTTCAGGCATAGAATCCTAATATGCCTTCAGTAACAAATTGATTTGCTGAAGGAATTTTTTGCTGTCTCTAAGCATTTTTCCTACTCTGCTAATTGTATGTCGGACTTGCTCTGGAGATCATTGCGGAGGAGCAAAATCTGCAACCTAAGGCCCTAAACAGCCTCGGGTATGTAGACCTGAAGGAACGTCTCCACCCGCATCGCTCAGTCTGTATGCTGAGGTCCTCCTTCGAGGGTCTTCTGCTGGTTCACCCCCCCCCCCCAGTGAGAAGCGAAGTTACAGGGAAGCAGGCAGAGGGCAAGGAAATGGGCAACTATCTGACATTTATAAGACAGCTGAAAGCAGCCCTGTATTGGGAGGTTTTTAATGTTTGATGTTTTACTGGCTTTTATATGTACTGTAAGCTGCCCAGAGTGGCGGGGGAAACCCAGCCAGATAGGCAGCGTAGAAATACTACAATCATTCTTATTATATTGTTATTCTTTTGTAGTTATTTTTGAATTCGTACTGCAATATCAGCTCACGAAATGTCATGGGTGGAGAGAATCACAGGGATGCCATAAACGGTAATCCCACCCACAACTTCTCATTCACATACAGTCTGTAAATTAGGGGAGGTCACACACCTCACCTGTGCTAATACTGGCACTCTTTGGCCTGTGTAGGCACACCTTGTATGTAGAGCCTCCAGCCACAGACACTGTCTATCATGAAAATGGGTCCTTTGACTGGGAAGAATCTCAGCTTGTCAGTCACTCTGACACTGCCTACAAAGAATAAGAGGAACAGAAGTGCTTTTGACTTCCATATCAAGCCTGAGAGCCATTCCATTGACTCTGCGCCCCTGTTTCTGATGACAGGTGTACATTATCCTCATCCTGAATGAACCAGGCAGTGGAAAAGACAAAGATGGAAGCCAGAGAGAGAGGAAAAGGTTTCTGTCTGCTTCCTGGGTAGGATTGTAGAAACAGAGAATGGCTTTTGAAAGGGCTCTCCCCTCCCCTCTTCCTCTCGGGATTTGAACTGCTGCGTCTGGACAGGGCAGGGGCTTATGGGGTGGGAAGAGGATGGAGCTTGCAGGAAGGGAGGGGTGGGGGGACTGGACCCCCCACTTTCGACAGATCCCCCTCTGGTCGCCTTGAAGGGATGGCCGATTCCTTGGCGGGAGGGAGAAGCCAAGGCGGCCCCTCTGAAGAATCCTAGCGTCTGCCACGATGGAGACCTCTCCCTACAGACTGGTCTTCCTTTCTCCCCCCCCCCCCCACGCCAATGGTGCCCTTCCCCGCCCCAGGGATGCTCCCCCCCCGACTTCCTCGACCCCTCCCTCTTTCCCTGAGTCTCCCTGCACCCAGAAGCTCACCCCTCGACCTGCGCGCCCCACGTCTCCATCCAGAGGACGCCCCCCCCTACATCAGCCACACGGGGGTCTCTATCCAGGCGTCCCTCGCCGCCGTTAACCCTTTCATGGCCTGCCTTTTCCATGCGGAGCGCACAGGGCCCCAGGGATGCCTGTGTGGGGGAAATATGGCAAGGGGGTCCTCGTGGGGAATCCCTGGGTGGGCGCTCCATGACCGCCCCCGCCAGGGCGCCTAAGTGGCCAGGGAAAGCCCCCTTCGGAGTAGGAGTGCAGGGATCCAGACCCTGCCCGTGGGGCCCACGAAAGGCGCTTTGGGGTCTCTGGATCCTTCTCTCCCCTCCCCCGCGACCCCTTTACCTCTTTCTCCTCGCTCCAGATTATCCTTTCCTTTCCTGCAACATCCACGGGGGGGGGGTCCCCTCCCCTGCCGCCCCCCCTCCCCTTTCTGCAAGCGCGCGCCCCTAGAGCTACGGCGCAGAACAGCAATCCGGAGTGGAAGCTCCACTTCCGGGAGAAGCAGGCAGTTTGGGAGGGGGGCTCATCCCCCCCATTCCCGGAACAGATGGCGGATGGCGAGGAGGAGGAGCAACATATTGGGGAGGGGATTTGGGGTTGTGGGGGCGGGGTGAGAGGATGTGCGGGGAGGGGAGGAATTGGGGGAGGGGGAGGAAGGTTTCCCTCCTCCCCTCTTCCTCCTGTAGATCAGGAGAGCGGGGGAGGGGTTGATCCTGGCAATCCAATTGCAAAGTGGGGTTCCCCCCCAATGTTTACATTGCTAAATCCTTCCCTCGCCCACCCCACGCCACGAGCCGTGCGTCCGTGCTTTAGGTATTGGTGCTCTTCAAACCAGGAAGGGGGGACAGTTATACGACACCCCAAGGCCCCACCACAGCCTCGGTGTCTCCCTGGATGCTTCAGTAGCCGGCCTCCTCTGGGTCTCCTGGCCCCCTCCTCTCTTCCCTCTGGGTCTGAACTGCTCTCTGTCCCAGCCTCTTCCTGCTCACCAAACCCTGTTTCCTCCTCAGCTGGCAACACCTCCCCTCCCGGTCTGCTCCCCTTTCTCCCTCTTTCCGCTCATCGCCATCCCACCACCAGTCCCCAGGATCTGAGCCTTCTTCCTTTGTGGGTCTCCCAGCTGGTGCCTCCCCCCCCCAACACAGCCAGTCCATGACAGCAACAGCAGCCATAGCAGTAAAATCAGTATGATAGTAATATAACAACAACAACAACAACAACAACAACAACAACAATAATAATAATTTTTTTATTTATACCCCGCCCTCCCCAGCCAAGGCCGGCTCAGAGCGGCTTACAAGCAATAATAAAAACAAGATGAATGATTACAACTTAAAAACAAAAATAAAATACAACATTAAAATAATGGAACATTAAAATATTAAAATGTAGCCTCATTGCAGGAGAAGGAAAAGAAAAAAGAAAAGGGGGGGGGAGGGAATCAAATTGGCTCCAAGCCAAAGGCCAGGCGGAACAACTCTGTCTTACAGGCCCTGCGGAAAGAAATCAGATCATGCAGGCCCTGGTCTCATGAGACAGAGCGTTCCACCAAGTTGGGGCCAGTGCTGAAAAGGCCCTGGCTCTGGTTGAAGCCAATCTAACTTCCTTAGGGCCTGGGACCACTAGGGTGTTGTTATTTATGGACCTTGAGGCTCTCCGTGGGGCATACCAGGCGAGGCGGTCCCGTAGGTACGAGGGTCCTAGGCCGTGAAGGGCTTTAAAGGTCAAAAGCAGCACCTTAAATCTGACCCTGTACTCCACCGGGAGCCAGTGCAGCTTGAAAAGCACTGGATGAATATGCTCCCATGGCAGAGATCCTGTGAGGAGCCTCGCTGCAGCATTCTGTACCCGCTGGAGTTTCTGGGACAGCTTCAAGGGCAGCCCCGTGTAGAGCGAATTACAGTAGTGAAGCCTGGAGATGACCGTCGCATGGATCACTGTGGCCAGGTCGGGGCGGGAAAGGTAAGGGACCAACTGCTTGATGCGGCGAAGGTGGGAAAATGTTGCCTTGGCTGTTGCTGTAATTTGCGCCTCCATGGAAAGGGAGGCGTCAAGGATTACACCCAAACTCTTAACGGAAGGCAATGGCACTACTTGGGCCCCCACAAGAGAAGGGAGTTGGTCCCTCATCCCCATGCCATCCCGACCTAGCCATAAGACCTCTGTCTTCGAAGGATTTAGTTTCAATCGGCTCCCACGAAACCATCCAGCCACAGCTTCCAAGCATCTGGTCAGTGTGTAAGGGGCCGAGTCGGTGTGGCATAATATAATATACACTCTGGTCCTCTGGTAGGAAAACTCCCTAGCAGCAGGATTGAATAATAACTTCTGGGAATATGGAAAAGTATTATCTTCTCCCAACCCCAGAATAAGCACAACTCTGGGGTTGCTCCATGGGGTTCATGAGTGAAGATGGGCCCCCCAGGAGACTTCCCTCGTACCTGTAGCCCCTCCTTCCCCATCCTGCAAATAGGCTTGGGGGGAAATCTCCCATTCAATTTCAGTATTTCAAGCTTTTTTTCAGAATGCGCAGGGGGCAGGGAGATGTTATGGTGAAGAAGCAGTGTTTGGAGATCATACGGTGGTGGGGGTGACAGAGCTTGGTGCAAAAACCATCTTGCATGCTTGAGCAGAGCAACTCCAGGGCATCAGCAGGGTAGAAGCCACATGCAGAGCAATTCCCACGCTGAGGACAAAAACGCACACAGAGGCAGCAGGACTTCTTCAGTAGTAGTTTACTGAGCTTTCAAAGCCTACAGTTCTCACTGGGTCCCCAGTGAGGCACAAAACTTATCTCCTGAGAGCAAATCCCGTTTCAGCAGTAAAAAAAATACAGCACACAGGATCTCTAAGTCAGGCACACACACCGGCAGAAGGGAGCAAGGGAGGAAAGAGGCTGGAAGGACACAGGGCAATGGAGGTGTGTCTTTCGCTTCCTGTTGCCTGGGAAGAAAGTCAGCAACTCGGCATCTGCAGGGACTTCACGAAGCAAAGCTTTATGCTGGCTATTCCAGGCAAATGCGCATCCTAGAAACACACACTGTGATCTGTGCTATATTGCCGTATCAGTTGTTTTTATGGGGATTTTTCTGTCCCCCCCCCAAAAAAAATATTCATTTTATAACACAAATAAAGAACACAATCAGAAAAACAAACAATACAAACAAAGTCTTGTCATATCCTTATTTTCCTATACATTGTGAAGTGGGCTTCCCCAAGTCCTACCTATCTGATTTTCATTTTACTTCATCTTTAGCTATTTACATATATCATCATTTCTAACAATCTTTTTTTTTAATCACACTTAAAATAACTTCACATTTTATCACTTACAAATAATACTACTTTAAAATACATTATCTTCTACTTCTAAGCCTGCAGCATATATCCGCTTCCAAAGCTATTCTAAGATTTAAATATTAACATAAAATGTAATAAATTATACATCTTAGATAGTTTTTTTGGTTTTGTATCTAATAATTCCATTTCCAGTTTGGATTTCTCTCTTTGAAAACCAAATTTCTTGTCCATTTTAAACACTTCATTTATCTGGATGTACTGGAACCTATCATCTAATTTATCTTTCAACAGATCACAAGATTTTAATCTAAATTGGTCCCCTACTTCCATCAGAATAGCATTATACTTCAACCACGTATCTTTCATATTCAACCTTTTATGGGTCTTAGCTTCCAATGGTGAGCCAAATCACTTGTTTTTCAAGGGTTCTCGCAATGCGTCAGGGAATGGTCTGAAGCTGAGTATGGGGGAATGCATTCTCAGGCAGATCAGCTTTCCTGGGAGCAGGAGGGGGGGGGATTGACCCTCCTCTTTTCCAGTGGTCTCAGAAGCAGGGAGTGACACCGATGCAGAGCAGATTAGACAGGAGTTACCTAGCTAAGAGAGAAGGACAAGAGAAACAGACTCAGCTGGCCCTGAAGCAGAAATATGGATTTCTTCGGAGTTCATTGCTGGGAAGAAGAGTGGACACTGAGAGGAACATGTCCCACACTCCATACATCTAAATGGGTTCTCCCTTGTGACAGTCCCTAGATGTTTCTTAAACATTCCATTATAATTAAATCACTTTCTGTAATCTTTCCATTTAAACTGCTTCTCCTCATGTCTGTTGATGGTTTGTAGGGTTTTAACTCTTAAAGTTCATCCTGTGCATGAGTCTGTTGATTTAGAACTTCCACTAGAAATGGACCTCTACCTTTATTTAACTTCCTGACACTTATATGGTTTGTCTCCTGTGTGAGTTTGTTAATGTAAATCAAGGGTTCCACTCTGCCTGAAGCTTTACCGCTCTCAATGCATTTAAAGGGTTTTTCCCCTGTGTGAGTCCATTGATGTCTTCTAAGGGTTTCATTGAAACCGAAGCTCCTCCGCACTCCATTCATTCATATGGTTTCTCCCCTGTGTGAGTCAGTTGATGTCTATTAAGGTGTCCACTCTGACTGAATTTCTTTCCGCACTCCATGCATTTAAATGGTTTTTCCCCTGTGTGAGTCTGTTGATGTCTTCTAAGGTTTCGATTATCACTAAAGCTCTTTCCACACTCCATACATTCATATGGTTTCTCCCCCGTGTGAGTCCGTTGATGTCTTCTAAGGGTTCCATTATCACAATAGCTCTTTCCGCACTCCATACATTCATATGGTTTCTCCCCCGTGTGAGTCCGTTGATGTATTCTAAGAGTTCCATTATCACGAAAGCTCTTTCCACACTCCATACATTCATATGGTTTCTCCCCCGTGTGAGTCCGTTGATGTCTTCTAAGGTTTCGATTATCACAATAGCTCTTTCCGCACTCCATACATTCATATGGTTTCTCCCCCGTGTGAGTCCGTTGATGTATTCTAAGAGTTCCATTATCACGAAAGCTCTTTCGACACTCCATACATTCATATGGTTTCTCCCCCGTGTGAGTCTGTTGATGTCTTCTAAGGTTTCGATTATCACTAAAGCTCTTTCCGCACTCCATACATTCATATGGTTTCTCCCCCGTGTGAGTCCGTTGATGTATTCTAAGGTTTCGATTATCACTAAAGCTCTTTCCGCACTCCATACATTTACATGGTTTCTCACCTGTGTGAGTCCGTTGATGTCTTCTAAGGGTTCCATTATCACAAAAGCTCTTTCCACACTCCGTACATTCATATGGGTTCTCCCCTGTGTGAGTCTGTTGATGTCTTCTAAGGGTTGCATTGAAACTGAAGCTCTTTCCGCACTCCATACATTCATATGGTTTCTCCCCTGTGTGAGTCATTTGATGCTTTTTGAGGTGTCCACTCTGACGGAATTTCTTTCCGCACTCCATGCATTTAAATGGTTTTTCGCCTGTGTGAGTCCGTTGATGTGTTCTAAGCTTTCCATTATCACTAAAGCTATTTCCGCACTCCAGACATTTAAATGGTTTTCCCCCTGTGTGAGTCCATAGATGTCGTCTAAGGGCTGCATTGAAACTGAATCTCCTTCCGCACTCCATACATTCATATGGTTTCTCCCCCGTGTGAGTCCGTTGATGTATTCTAAGGTTTCGATTATCACTAAAGCTCTTTCCGCACTCCATACATTTACATGGTTTCTCACCTGTGTGAGTCTGTTTATGTCTTCTAAGGGTTCCATTATCACTAAATCTCTTTCCGCACTCAATGCATTTAAATGGTTTTTCCCCTGTGTGAGTCCGTTGATGTTGTCTAAGGTTTGCATTGAAACTGAAGCTCTTTCCACACTCCATACATTTATATGGTTTCTCCCCTGTGTGAGTCTGTTGATGTCTTCTAAGTTTTCCATTATCACTAAATCTCTTGCCACACTCAATGCATTTAAATGGTTTTTCCCCTGTGTGAGTCCGTTGATGTCGTCTAAGGTTTGCATTGAAACGGAAGCTCTTTCCGCACTCCAAACATTCATATGGTTTCTCCTCTGCGTGAGTCCGTCGATGTGTTCTAAGGGTTCTATTATCACGAAAGCTCTTTCCACACTCCATACATTCATATGGTTTCTCCTCTGTGTGAGTCCATTGATGTGTTCTAAGGGTTCTATTATCACGAAAGCTCTTTCCGCACTCCATACATTCATATGGATTCTCCCCTGTGTGAATCCGTTGATGTGTTCTAAGGGTTCCATTATCACGAAAGCTCTTTCCACACTCCATACATTCATATGGTTTCTCCCCTGTGTGAGTCAGTTGGTGCCTATTTAGGCTTCCACTTTGACTGAATTGCCTTCCGCACTCCATGCATTTAAATGGTTTTTCCCCTGTGTGAGTCCGTAGATGTATATTGAGGTGTCCACTATGACTGAAGTTCTTCCCACACTCCGTGCATTTGAATCCTTTCTTCCCCATGTTAGTCGGCTGATGTGTTCTATCAGTGAAAGTCTTTTCACACTCTATACCTTTAAATGGTTTCGCCACTTTTGGGGTTTGTTGATGTGAGCTATGTGTGCTCATTCAATGAAGCATGTTCCACATTTCACACATGTCAATGTCTATATCTAATGAAAACAAAGGTGCCCTTTCCCCTGGAAGTCTGTCTCTCTTCTCCATGACCCTCCTCAGTGTGGGAGGAAAGGAAATCCTGTTTGGGTTTCAAGGAAGAGAACAAAGGGAAAGAGAGCACATCAAACGCCATTAGCAGCTTTTCTTATTTCAGCATCTCCTATATTCCCCTGCCTCCTACCCATGTTCCCAGTTTTGAGGAAATAAAGATGCAATGATGTCAAATGATAGTAATGCAGCAGCAAACTTTCATTATCCTCAATCATCATTAATAAAGCAGCATGATCTTGGAAAACAGCCTTTTCACATCAATTGTTTCCTCACAGGAAATGCAGCTTCTCTCTCTCGATGAAAAGGCCCTCTCTCTCTATGATCCATCGTTCCTTTGGACATTTCCCATCCTCGGCATCATAATCCTCCATCCACCCCTGTTTCCACCTCTAGATCTTCATGAATGACCTGCACAGTCCCAATGGCCTCAGGAAGTCCATGTGGACCATTATATGAGACCCAGGTCTACATCTTTTCCAGGGAGTGTGGTCTGGGTCAGTCAGAGAACTAGTGGCAAGGCTTGGTGCTTGGGGTCAGCTGAATAGGTGCTCAGGGAAGCTCCTGTTCTTGGAGACGGATCTCCGTCTACATGCCTTGCATTGCATGGAGAGAGCAGGAGAAGCAGAAAGAAAGGAGCTGGCAAATGGGAAACACCCCCCCATTGTTCCTTATAATAATGATGTGCTGCCTGATCTCTTGCTCCGTCTTCTGACACAGGACTATCCTAATCTGGCACTGAAAAGCTGGATATTCAAGGCAAATGGATAACTCTACTTAGTGGAAACTTCATCCTTTAGTATGTAGTACAGATTCATTAACAACCTGAAGTTGTGTTATTTCTTGAGATATGAATTTATTCCTGATCTGAGCGTTTTTTCCTACTCTCCTAACTATATGTCAGTCTAGGAGATCGTTATGAAGGAGCAAGTTCTGCAACCTAGAGCCCTAAACAGCCTCGGCCCTGTAGACCTGAAGGAGTGTCTCCACCCCCATCCTTCACTCTGAACACTGAGGTTCTCCTCTGAGGGTCTTCTGCTGGTTCCCTCCCTTCAGAGGTCGAGGAAATGAACAACTATCTGACATTTAGAAGATAGTTGAAGGGAGACCTGTATTAGGAGCTTTTTAATGTTGGATGTTTTACTGTCTTTTATGTGTACTGGAAACCCAACCAGATGGGCAGGGTATAAATACTACAATCATTTGTATTATCTTGTGATTTTTTGGTAGTTATTTTGGAATTCGTAGTGCAATATCAGGTCACGAAATGTTTTGGGTGGAGAAAATCACAGGGTTGCCGTAAACAATAATCCCACCCACAAACTCTCATTCACATACAGTCTGTAAATTTGGGAAGGTCACACAGCTCACCTGTGCTAATACTGGTAGTCTTTGGCCTCCGTAGGCACACCATGTCTGTAGAGCCTCCAGCCACAAGCACTGTCTATCATGAAAATGGGTCCTTTAACTGGGAAGTATCTCAGCTTGTCAGTCACCCTGACATTGCCTATAAAAAGTAAGAGGAACAGAAATGCCTTTGAGGCGCACCTTCTATATCAATCCTGAGATCAATTAAATAGGTTCTGCACCCCTGTTTCTGTTGTTGTTTTTTAAAGAATTTTTATTAGAGTTTCAACAAGTTTTTATCATAACCAAACAAAACAACACAATAACAAAAATGTAAAACATAGAAAACAAAAAAAATCATACCAGTTCAAATCTTAATTTCTTGTAACTTACTTTCCCGACTTCCTCACACCTCCCCTTTCTGTATTCCAATTTCTGATTTATTTTCAGCAAATCCCTCCCTTACTTTTAGCCTAATTTTAATATTGCTTATTTTCTTTAAATTAACCATTACCTCAGCTAACCACTTATTTTCTAATCCAGCGTCATTTTCACATTCATTAATTTTGCTATGTTTCTTTACTTATTTCTCATAAAACATTTTTACATATTCCTTTCAGCTATGTCACCAATGCCACACTATCTTTATATCCTGCATCACTTTAACATTCTTTTGGAAGCCGCCCAGAGTGGCTGGGGAAACCCAGCCAGATGGGCGGGGTATAAATAATAAATTATTATTATTATTATTATTATTATTATTATTATTATTATTATTCAAATATTTTGCAATGTTTTTGCAGATAGTCTTTAAATTTCTTCCAATCCTCTTCCGTTTGTTCTTCTCTCGTGTCTCGGATTCTGCCAGTCATTTCTGCCAATTCCATGTAGTCTATCAATTGCATCTGCCATTCTTCCAGGGTGGGCAAATCTTGTGTCTTCCAGTACTTTGCGATAAGTATTCTTGCTGCTGTTGTTGCATACATAAAGAAAATTCTATCCTTCTTTAGCACCATCTGGCCGACAATGCCCAAGAGGAAGGCCTCTGGTTTCTTAAGGAAGGTATAGTTATATACCTTTTTCAGTTCATTATAGATCATTTCCCAGAAAGCCTTAACCTTTGGGCACGTCCACCAGAGGTGAAAGAATGTTCCCTCAGTTTCCTTACATTTCCAACATTTATTATCAGGCAAATGATATACTTTTGCAAGCTTGACTGGTGTCATGTACCACCTATAAATCATTTTCATAATATTTTCTTTTAAGGCATTACATGCCGTAAATTTCACACCAGTGGTCCATAACCGTTCCCAGTCAGCAAACATAATGTTATGACCAATGTCTTGTGCCCACTTAATCATAGCTGATTTGACCGTTTCATCCTGAGTGTTCCACTTTAACAGCAAGTTGTACATTCTTGAAAGTACCTTAGTTTTAGGTTCTAACAATTCCGTTTCTAATTTCGAATTTTCCACCTGAAAACCTATTTTTTTATCCATATTAAAAACCTCTCTAATTTGGTAATAATGTAACCAATCTCGCACTTTATCTTTTAGTTTCTCAAAACTCTGCAATCTCCATGTGTCTCTGTTTTGTTCTAGTATCTCCCAATATTTCGGCCATTTGGCCTCCATATTGAGTCTTTTCCGAGCCTTAGCTTCCATAGGTGACAACCACCCAGGGGTCTTATTTTCCAATAAATCTTTGTATCTTGTCCAGACATTAAATACTGCTTTCCTGACAATATGGTTCTGAAATGTTTTGTGAGCTCTAACCTTGTCGTACCACAAATATGCATGCCACCCAAACGCATTCTTAAACCTGTTTCTGATGACAAGTGTACATTTTCCTCATCCTCAATAAACCATGCAGTGGAAAAGACACTTGAAGATGGAAGCCTGAGAGAGAGGAAAAGGTTTCTGGCTGCTTCCTGGGTGGGATTGCAGAAACAAAGAGCCACTTCTGAGAAGGCCTCTCCCCTCCCCTCCTCTCTTCCACTTTCCTCTCCTCTCCAGGGTGAACAGTGGTTGGACTTGGCAGATTCGCTGTGTCTGGACAGGGCAGGAGTTTATGGGAGGGAAGAGGATGGAGCTTGCAGGAAGGAAGGGGTGGGGGGACTGGAGCCCCCACTTTCCAGGGATCCCTCTCTGGTTGCCTTGAAGGGGGGGTCGATTCTTGGGTGGGAGGGAGAAGCCAAGGCGGCCCCTTCGGAGATTCCTCGTGGGCGCACTATGGAGACGTCTCCCTACAGACTGGTCTCCTCCCCCCAACCCCACCAATGCTGCGCTTCCTTGCCCCAGGGATGCTCCCCTCCCTCCTCCCCCCGGCTCCCCCCACCCTTGGCCCCCTCCCTCTCTCCCGGAGTCTCCCCTGCACCCAGAGGCCCCCTTGGCGCGGCTCACCCCTCGCCATGCGCGACCCATCTCTCCATCCGGAGGGGCCCCCCAAGACGAGGTGGGGAGGGACAGGGGGGTCTCTATCTAGGGTCTCTCGCGCCCGTTAACCCTTTCATGGTCTGCCTCTCTCCGCGCGGAGCGCACAGGGCCCCAGGGATGCCTGCGCGGGGGAAACGGGGCCGGGGAGTCCTCGTGGGACCCCGTGGGTGGGCGCCCCATGTCCTCCCCTGCCGAGGAAAGCCCCCTTCGCAGCACACGTTCAGGGATCCAGGCCCTGCCGGGGGGGCCACGGAAGGCGCTTTGGGGAGCTGGCGCGGAGTCCCTCTCTGGGTCCTTCTCTCCCCTCTCCCCCCCCCCCGCCGCGACCCCTTTACCTCTTTGTCCTCGATCCCGATTCTCATTTCCTTTAATGCAACATCGATGTTTTGTTGGGGGGGGTCCCCTGCCGCCCCTCCTCCCCTTTCCGAAAGGGCGCGCCCCTAGAGCTATGGCGCTGAGCGGCAATCCGGCGTAGAAGCTCCACTTCCCGGAGAAGCAGGCAGTTTGGGAGGAGGCTCACCCCCCCCCTTATTCCCGGAACAGAAGCCGGAGTGGAGGAGGAGGAGGAGGAGGAGGAGGAGGAGCCGAGGAGGAGGAGGATCCTGATACTTCCAAAGGAGAAGCCCAGGACAGCCTTGCAGCTAGAGGGATGTCTGAATACTATTATGCTTCTTAGGGGAAGAGGGTAGTTAAAAATGTGTGGGAAACTGGGGCTGTTGACAGGGGTGGGTGACGGGTCCATGTTTCTGAATGCCAAAGACTCCTACTTTGTGACAAATCTGTGATGCATCAAAGATGCTGTGGAAAAATGTATTGTGGGAAATGGGGAGAGGTCTTAAAAATCCATGCAACCATCTTCTCAGGGGTTCCTACTCTTGGTGTGTTTGAACCTTGTTGCAACAAATAAAGATCAGGTCAACTGACCGCCCTTTGCTTCTTTAACTTGGCTGGAGACTCCTTCTTTTGCTGACCGGAGGGACCCCCGGGGAGTGGCACCCTGAGGAGCTGGGCAGCGGAGTGAATCCGCACCCCGGGATATTTTCCTTCTCAACTCTGTCCCACCTGAGCCTCACCCCCTTACCTAAAAGCCAGACACAGCGCAATGTGACAGGATTGTGACTCCTGCCCTCAGCAAACAAAATAGGACCCCCCCCCCGAGCAAAGCAACCCCGGGATGCTGAGGTCCCCCAATCCTTGAAATGAAAAGGGGGGGTCGGGACACCTTCAGGGAGCAGGCGGGCAGGGGGCTGCCCAGGCTCCAGAAGCTCCTTCTCGCTGGTTCCTCCCCATCGCCCTCCTGCTGCCTGCCTCCCCTCCGCTTCTACTGGTCCTTTGCAAGTGCGGGGAAGCTCTAGTCCCTCCGGCCCCCCTCAAATTCCTTCTGAGAGCCCCACATTGCACGGGGCAGGCTCACCTGCAGCGAAACAACACGCAGCTGCCTTGGCAGAGTGGAGCCAGGCTGGGGCGCACCGTGGGGACCCCAGAAATGTGTCCCTAGAAGAAATGCGCCTCCCCCCTTCTCTGGGGCTCAAGTGCTGCCGGTGGGCTTCCCAGAAGAGTTCCCTGGGAGGACAGGGGCCCCTTGGGCCTGATCCTGCAGGGCTCACCTGACGTTCTGGTGCAAGTGAACCCTCCTTTGTCCTTCAGGGAGAACAGGGTTTCCCAAATTTGGGTCTCCAGCTGTTTTTGGACTACAGCTCCCATCACCCCTAGCTAGCAGGACCAGTGGTCAGGGATGATGGGAATTGTAGTCAAGCCCTACAGGTGGCTCTGGCAAGTGAGCCCAGGTGCATGTGACTAGGGTGGGGGGAATTCCTTCCTGGTGTTACGGAAATTACAGGGGAGGGGGTTACCATCTGACATTATCCCCTGGGACGAGGAACCCCAAACCCCTCTCCACTCAGTCGCAAAAGATTCACATATCTTATAAATACAGGAAAACACGGTCTCTGCATTTTAAGAATGGGATTTACGGAGTTTGTGTTTTATGAATGGGATTTAGGAATAACCGAAGCCCAACAATCAAAAGCACTATGTTTTGACAGCTAGCCAATGGGGGAATCCGTAGACGGCTGAAACTGCCTCCAAACCAGCCTTTCAGCTCAGCCTTTGCACAATTGTCTCAGCGCCCTCCTGCTGCTCAGACTATGGGCAAAGTATATTAAATGTAGCCATTTTGGTTTCGATTGCCTAAAGTTGCTAGAATATTACAAAGATTGTGTCTGAATGTATCCTTTCAGCTTGACAGCTCTGGGAATGATAACTAAATTTGTAAATTCATATAAAATCCATACTTTAACCGATTCTTCCCATTCCAAAGCCGTTTTAACTCTTAAGAAAAAGTAAATTCAGGGTTCACCCTCCTCCATGACCCTGGAAGCGGATAGCCACGTAGGCAGCAAGAACAGGGCCTCCTGCCATAATCCCCTGAGCGTGAGAGAACCTACACTTCGCCCCACCCTGGGAGTAACCAAGGGGCGACAATAGACTTCCACAGAGGCAGTTGACCAAGCCAGGTTCTGAAAGCCCATCTCAGGAGAAGCCCTGAGGGCAAGGATGTAATTTGATTCTGAACTGATTTTAGAATGTATTTCAATTAATTGATTGTGATTTTATGTAAACTATATTACTTTTACTGTTGTTAGCCGCTCTGTGCCCGGCTTTGGCTGGGGAGGGTGGGATATAAATATATTTTATTTTATTTTATTATTATTATTACAGTGGTACCTCAGGTTACAGACGCTTCAGGTTACAGACTCCGCTAACCCAGAAACAGTACCTCGGGGTAAGAACTTTGCTTCAGGATGAGAACAGAAATTGTGCGGTGGTGGCACAGCAGCAGCGGGAGGCCCCATTAGCTAAAGTGGTACCTCAGGTTAAGAACAGTTTCAGGTTAAGAACAGACCTCCGGAATGAATTAAGTACTTAACCCGAGGTACTACTGTATTGTGTCGATAGTTTTCTTGTTCTTTGGGTGATGGGTACTGGAGAGGTGTCCAGAGATGTATCTGATAGAGTGACCAACTGTTGCACTTGTGTAACCCTTTGATACATACTAGTGAAGATGCTACTCGAAAAGTATTCTGGGTGAAGGGGGGAGGTTTTAAAAGTCAATATGAATTGTCCAGGGTTGCTCAAACAAAGAGAGATGCAAGGAGCTCCAAAGGACCTCTCCAAATGGGGTGAATGGGCAGAAAATACAGCATCATAAAGTGATGCAAAAAACCCTGCACCCATTAATATAATGTATAGGCTCATGGGTATGAACTGGATTTCTCTGTGTGCTCTAGGAGACCAGGGGAGAGGGGAGCTGGTCGCAGCAGGAGGGGGAGTCTCCCTGGATGCTTCAGCTGATGGCCTCCTCGGATGGTCTCCTGGCCCCCTCCTCTCCTCCCTCTGAGCATGAACCGCTCTCTGTCCCAGCCTCTTCCTGCTCACCAAACCCTGTTTCCTCCTCAGCTGGCAACACCTCCCCTCCCATTCTGCTCCATTTTCTTCCTCTATCTGCTGATCGCCATCCCACCACCAGTCCCCAGGATCTGAGCCTTCTTCCCTTGTGGGTCCCCCAGACTGGTGTGTCCCCCCCCCCCTGAACACAGCCAGTCCATGACAGCAAAAGCAGCAGCAACAGTTAAATCAGTAGGATAGCAATAAGCGCTGTGGTCCTCTGGTAGCAGCATGATTGACTAATAACCTCTGGGACTATGGAAAAATATTATTCTCCCAAAACCCCAGAATAAGCAGTAGCGCTGGGGTTCCCCTAAGTGGTTCATGAGTGAAGATGGGCCCGCCAGGAGACTTTCCTGGTACCTGCAACCCATCCTTCCCCCTCTTGCAGTTAGGCTTGGGGGGGGGGATCTCCCATTAAATTTTAAGTTTTCTTCAGAACGTGCAGGGGGCAGGGAAGAAGTTCTGTTGAATAAGAAATGTTTGGAGATCATGCGGTGGTGGGGGTGACAGAGTTTGGTGTAAAAACCACTCTGACACAAAAATACCCATCTTTCATGCGTGAGTACAGTAACTCCAGGGCCTTAGCCAAGTATCGGTGGGGTAGGGGCCACATGCAGAGCAAGTCCGACACTGACGTTAAAAACACACACAGAAGCAGCAGGACTTCTTCAGTAATAGTTTACTGAGCTTTCAAAGCCTACAGTTCTCACTGGGTCCCCAGTGAGGCACAAAACTTAGCTCCTGAGAGCAAATCCAGTTTCAGCGGTAAAATTATACAGCATACAGGATATCTAAGTCAGGCACACACACCGGCAGAAGGGAGCAAGGGAGGAAAGAGGCTGGAAGGACACAGGGCAATGGAGGCGTGCCTTTCGCTTCTTGTAGTCTTGGAGGGAAGTCAGCAACTCAGCATCTGCAGGGACGTCACGAAGAAAACTTTCTGCCGCTGCTTGCAGGCACATCCCAGAAACACACACTGTGATTGACAGTGTATTGCCACATCAGCTGTTCTTCAAAGGTTATCGAGATGTGGTCTAGAAACCAGTATTGGACCAGATATCAATATATCGCCCAGCCCTAATCCTCACTCACCACCAGCAAACCAGATTCATCCTCTCTATCAAAAGGTTCTTTACCTCTTAGATTATACTCACATTGTTTGACATTGCATTCAATATTTCATTGCTGTTCAGTTTTACATATAAACACAAGAACTTCAAATACACATTGTGTGTTTAAGACTGATTTCCTGCTGAGTTCATTGCTGTGAAGAAAGAGAGGACACTGAAAGGAAAACATCCCGCACTCCATACATCTAAATGGGTTCTTCCATGGGAAAGTCCCTGGAGGTTCCTTAAACACTCCATTGTAAATAAAGCACTTTTTGCAATCTTTTCATTTATACTGCTCCTCAAACCCCAGAATAAGCAGGTTGACCCATGGGGTTCATGAGTGAAGATGGGCCCACCAGGAGACTTCCCTGGTACCTGCAGCCCCATATTCCCCCTCTTGAACTTAGGCTTTGGGGGGAAATCTCCCATTGAATTTCAGTATTTCAAGATAAGGTTCTGTCGAAGAAGAAGTGTTTGTAGTGGTGGGGGTGCAAAAACCATCTTGTGTGCTTTAGTACAGAAACTCCAGGGCATGAGCTAAGTAGCAGCAGGGTAGGGGCCACGTGTAGAGCAAGTGCCACACTGAGGTCAAAAAGACACACACAGGCAGCAGGACTTCTTCAGTAATAGTTTACTGAGCTTTCAAAGGCTACATTTATGACTGGGACCACAGTGAGGCACAAAATATAGCTCCTGAGAACAAATCATTCATATGGTTTCTCTCCTGTGTGAGTCAGTTGATGCACGCTGAGGTGTCCACTCTGACTGAATTTCCTTCCGCACTCCATGCAATTAAATGGTTTTTCCCCTGTGTGAGTCCATTGATTTGTTCTAAGCGTTCCATTATCACGAAAGCTCTTTCCGCACTCCATACATTTACATGGTTTCTCCCCTGTGTGAGTCTGTTGATGTCTTCTAAGGTTGACATTATCACGAAAGCTCTTTCCGCACTCCATACATTTACATGGTTTCTCTCCTGTGTGAGTCTGTAGATGAATATTGAAGTGTCCACTCTGACTGAAGCTCTTTCCGCACTCCATACATTTATATGGTTTTTCACCCGTGTGAGTCCGCTGATGTGTTCTAAGGGTTCCATTATCACTAAAGCTCTTTCCACACTCCATGCATTTAAATGGTTTCTCGCCTGTATGAGTCCGTTGATGTCTTCTAAGTTCTGCATTGAAACCGAAGCTCTTTCCACACTCAATGCATTTAAATGGTTTCTCCCCTCTGTGAGTCTGTTGATGTTTTCTAAGGGTTCCATTTTCACTAAAGCTCTTTCCGCACTCCATACATTTAAATGCTTTCTCCCCTGTATGAGTCTGTTGATGTCTTCTAAGGTGTGCATTATCACTAAAGCTCTTTCCGCACTCCATACATTGATGTGGTTTTTCACCCATGTGAGTCGATTGATGTCTTCTAAGCTTTCCAGTTTCACAAAAGCTCTTTCCACACTCAATGCATTTAAATGGTTTCTCCCCTCTGTGAGTCTGTTGATGTTTTCTAAGGGTTCCATTTTCACTAAAGCTCTTTCCACACTCCATACATTTAAATGGTTTCTCCCCTGTGTGTGTCCGTTGATGTGTTCTAAGGTGTGCATTATCACTAAAGCTCTTTCCGCACTCAATGCATTTAAATGGTTTCTCCCCTCTGTGAGTCTGTTGATGTCTTCTAAGGTGTGCATTATCACTAAAGCTCTTTCCGCACTCCATACATTTAAATGGTTTCTCCCGTGTGTGAATCTGTTGATGTTTTCTACAGCTTCCACTAAAACTAAAGCTCTTTCCACATTCCATGCATTTAAATGGTTTCTCGCCTGTATGAGTCCGTTGATGTAAAGTTAAGTATCCCCTCCGACTGAAGTTCTTTCCGCACTCCATACATTTAAATGGTTTCTCCCCTGTGTGAGTCTGGTGATGTAAATTGAGGTGTCCACTCTGACTAAAGCTCTTTCCACACTCCATACATTTGTATGGTTTCTCTCCTGTGTGAATCCGTTGATGTGTATTGAGGGATCCACTCTGACTGAAGTTCTTCCCACACTGTATGCATTTGAATACTTTCTTGCCCATGTTAATGTGCTGATGTATTCTAAGTTTTCCAATATCAGTGAAACTCTTTCTACAGTCCTTACCTTTCAATGGTTTCTCCCGTCGGAGGTCATTGATGTGAATTATGTGTGCTCATTCTATGAAGCATAATCCACATTTCACACATTTTAATTTCTCTTTCTAATGAAACGAAAGGTGTCCCATCTCCTGGACTTCTGACTGTCTTCTCCATCTCCTTCTTCAGAGTGGGAGGAAAGGAAATCCTGTTTGAGTTTCAAGGAAGAGAACAAATGGAAAGAGAGCACATCAAATGCCATTAGCAGCTTTTCTTATTTCAACATCTCCTACATTCCCCTGCCTCCTACCCATGTTCCCAGTTTTGAGGAAATAAAGATGCAATGATGTCAAGTGATAGTAATGTAGCAGCAAACTTTCATAATCCTCAATCATCATTAATGAAGCAGCATGATCTTGGAATGCAGCCTTCTCAAATCAATTGTTTCCTCACAGGAAAGGCAGCTGCTCTCTGTCCATGACATGGCCCTCTCTTTCTCTGGTTCATTGTTCCTTTGGACAATTCCCATCCTCTGCGTCATAATCCTCCATCCACCACCACCCGTTTTCACCTCTAAATCTTCAGCAGTCACCTGCACAGTCCCAATGGCCTCAGGAAGTCCATGTGGACCATTTTGGGAGGCCCAGGTCTACATCTTTTCCAGGGACTTTGGTCTGGGTCAGTCAGAGAACCATATAATTCAATGTCAGAGAAGCTCTGGGACTTGATAACAAGCCTCCAGGTTGACCAGCCCCATCTGCCCTGGGTCAGTCAGAGAACTAGTGACAAGGCTTGGTGCTTGGGGTCAGCTGAATGGGTGCTCAGGGAAGCTCCTGTTCTTGGAGATGGACCTCTGTCTACATGCCTTGCATTGCATGGAGAGAGCAGGAGAAGCAGATGGCACATGGGAATCCCAGGCGGAAACACCGACCCAAATGGTTCTTTATAATGATGATGTGCTGCCTGATCCTGTGCTTGCCTTATGACAGAGGACTATCATAATCTGGCACTGAAAAGCAGGATATTCAAGGCGAGGAGATAACTGTACAGTGGTGCCCCGCAAGACGAATGCCTCGCAAGTTGGAAAACCCGCTAAACGAAAGGGTTTTCCATTTTTGAATTGCTTCGCAAGGCGAATTTCCCTATGGGCTTGCTTCGCAAGACGAAAATGTCTTGCGAGTCTTGCCATTTCCCCCCCGCTTCCCCCCTTTTTCTAAGCCGCTAAGCCATTAATAGCCGCTAAGCCGCTAAACCGCTAATAGCGCTAATCTGCTAATGGGGTTGCTTCGCAAGACGAAAAAACCGCTAGACGAAGAGAATCGCGGAACGGATTCTTTGCGTCTTGCGAGGCACCACTTACTTAGTGGAAACATCAACCTTGATGTGGTGCCTGAAGTTGTGTTATTTCTTGTGATATGAATTTATTCCTGATCTGTCTTAAATATCATAATTATAGGATGTCTTGGGGTGTTAGGGGAGCGGTAGTACTTTTGGTGTAGGAAATGTAGTCCACCTTCTGGAGTAATTTTTCCACCATTGGTCCCCACCCTGCACTCAGCTCTCACCTGAGAGAAGCTGTCAGCATTCAAAATGGGCCACAATCCCAGGAACGGCTTCAACCGGCCGGCATTCTTACATACTGTATTTGTGCTTGGTTCTCCAGTTGTACAGCTAGGGAGAGGAAGGTGCTCCAGAAGGTCATAACCACAGCCCAAAGGATTATTGGTCATCCTCTCCCATCTTTGGAAGAACTGTACGGTTCCCGTTGTCTTAGGAAAGCAAATAACATCCTGCAGGATTCATCTCACCCGGGACACGGTCTGTTTGCACTACTGCCTTCTGGCAGGAGATATAGAAACATCAAGTCAAAGACAAATAGACTGAAAAACAGTTTCTATCCAAGAGCTGTGGCCTTTTTGAATGCTGTAACTCGATAGTGTGACCTGGGAGTTTGATGGGTGTGGTGTGGGTGTGGCTGGAATGTGGTTTGTTTGGTTGTTGTTGTTGTTTTGCTTTTGTTGTTTTAAGGGATGGCATCCAATTTCGTTGCACTTTGTGCAATGTTGCACTTGTGTAATGACAATAAAGAATCTATTCTATTCTATTCTAAACCAGGTGAGGATACCTGATGGGTCTCAAATCCTTGGTGGGCTGGGGAATTCTGGAAAACAGAAGCACTATTTACATCATACGTCACTGTAAAGGTATTCAAAATATTTGTCTTCATATAGATATTAAAAAGCATGGGGATATTTGTCTTTTGAAGAAAAGACCACAAATCCAATGGCCTCTTGAAAGCGAATGAAAGTCTTGGGCCTTGAGCTTTTGGAGGTGCAGGACCAGGAAAGCTTCTGCCACCATTATCCTTCCAATTGGGATTCAGGCCTGAAACTGTCCTGGTTGCGCTGCTTGATGATCTCCAATGGGCTAGAGACCAAGGGGAAAGCTCTTTCCTGGTTCTGCTGGATCTCTCAGCGGCTTTGGAGACCTTTGACCATGGTATCCTTCTAGACCCTCTAGGGGAGCTGGGGGCCCTGCTATGCAGTGGTTTCCCTCCTTCCTCCTGAGCCATGTCCAGAAATTGGTGTTGGGGGATGAGTGTTCTGACCCCTGGGAGCTCACTTGTGGGGTGCCTCAGGGCTCCGTCCTCTCCCCATGCTTTTTAATATCTATATGAAGACGCTGGGAGAGATCATCAGGGGGTTTGGGCTGGGTGTTCCCCAGTATGTGGATGATGCCCAGCTCTTCCTCTCTTTTAAATTGGAACCAGTGAAGGTCCTGTGTAAGTGTCTGGAGGCACTTGGAGGATAGATGGCGGCTAACAGATTGAGGTTGAATCTTGATAAGAAAGAAATACTGTCCCAGGGGGACAGGGGACAGGCAGGTGTGGGAGACTCCCTAGACCTGATGGGGGTAACTGTGCCCCAAAAGGACTAGGTGCACAACCTGGGGGTCATTTTGGACTCACAGCTGTCCATGGAGGCACAGGTCAATTCTGTGCCCAGGGCAGCTGTCTACCAGTTCCATCTGGTATGCCAGCTGAGACCCTCCATGCCTGGAGACCCAGAGTGGTGCATGCTCTGGTGATCTCCCGCTTGGATTACTGCCATGTGATACATGGGGCTTGAGGAGATTTCACCCATCCCATTCCAAGAATCTGCTGATGTTCTCTGCTGATTCTCCAGAGAGGAGGGGGGCGGTTTCTGCTCTCCACTTATTTCGCTCCAGCCTCACAAGAGAGAGAGACTGAGTGTTAGAGAGAGAGTGTGTTATCTCTGTATAGATAAGGTTGCTGCTAAGAGCAGCTGCAGACTCTCAGTGCAGTCTAGCTTCTCCATTTAGCTCTTTATATAGTTTGTATGATAGTTGTAGATAGAATAAAAGTAGTTATTCTACAGAGCTGTTCTCCGAGTGGTTTATGCTCTGCTGTACTCTGCTGTGCAACGACTGTCTTCGGGAGTGAATCTGGTGCTCACAACTCTGAGTTGTGAGTCCACAACACTTTGACCTGTTCCTGTGCAGAAGGTCTCTGGAAGTGCTACCCCAGCTTGCCTGGCCCAGTCGGGGCTGAAGTGGATGAGTCCAGTCGGTGGCACTGGCTCAAGGGTGATGCTGACAGGGCTACCTTTGAAGGTGACCCGGAAACTGCAACTAATCCAGAATGTGGCTGGTAGAGAACAGAATGGGAGACCAGCTGAGACAACATAACACCAGTCCGAAAGGATCCTCACTGACTCCCAGTACATTTCTGAGCACAATTCGCAATGTTGGTGCTGACCATTAAATTGCCGTGGTTGCATGTTTCAGGCATAGAATCCTAATATGCCTTTAGTAACAAATTGATTTGCTGAAGGAATTTTTTGCTGTCTCTAAGCATTTTTTCCTACTCTGCTAATTGTATGTCGGAATTGCTCTGGAGATCATTGCGGAGGAGCAAAATCTGCAACCTAAGGCCCTAAACAGCCTCGGGTATGTAGACCTGAAGGAACGTCTCCACCCCCATCGCTCAGTCTGTATGCTGAGGTCCTCCTTCGAGGGTCTTCTGCTGGTTCACACCCCCCCCCCAGTGAGAAGCGAAGTTACAGGGAAGCAGGCAGAGGGCAAGGAAATGGGCAACTATCTGACATTTATAAGACAGCTGAAAGCAGCCCTGTATTGGGAGGTTTTTAATGTTTGATGTTTTACTGTCTTTTATATGTACTGTAAGCTACCCAGAGTGGCGGGGGAAACCCAGCCAGATAGGCAGCGTAGAAATACTACAATCATTCTTATTATATTGTTATTCTTTTGTAGTTATTTTTGAATTCGTACTGCAATATCAGCTCACAAAATGTCATGGGTGGAGAAAATCACAGGGATGCCATAAACGGTAATCCCACCCACAACTTCTCATTCACATACAGTCTGTAAATTAGGGGAGGTCACACACCTCACCTGTGCTAATACTGGCACTCTTTGGCCTGTGTAGACACACCTTGTATGTAGAGCCTCCAGCCACAGACACTGTCTATCATGAAAATGGGTCCTTTGACTGGGAAGAATCTCAGCTTGTCAGTCACTCTGACACTGCCTACAAAGAATAAGAGGAACAGAAGTGCTTTTGACTTCCATATCAAGCCTGAGAGCCATTCCATGGACTCTGCACCCCTGTTTCTGATGACAGGTGCACATTATCCTCATCCTGAATGAACCAGGCAGTGGAAAAGACAAAGATGGAAGCCAGAGAGAGAGGAAAAGGTTTCTGTCTGCTTCCTGGGTAGGATTGTGGAAACAGAGAACGGCTTCTGAAAAGGGCTCTCCCCTCCCCTCTTCCTCTCGGGATTTGAACCGCTGCGTCTGGACAGGGCAGGGGCTTATGGGGTGGGAAGAGGATGGAGCTTGCAGGAAGGGAGGGGTGGGGGGACTGGACCCCCCACTTTCGACAGATCCCTCTCTGGTCGCCTTGAAGGGATGGCCGATTCCTAGGCGGGAGGCAGAAGCCAAGGTGGCCCCTCTGGAGAATCCTAGCGTCTGCCACGATGGAGACCTCTCCCTACAGACTGGTCTTCCTTTCTCCCCCCCCCCCACGCCAATGGTGCCCTTCCCCGCCCCAGGGATGCTCCCCCCCGACTTCCTCGACCCCTCCCTCTTTCCCTGAGTCTCCCTGCACCCAGAAGCTCACCCCTCGACCTGCGCGCCCCACGTCTCCATCCAGAGGACGCCCCCCCCTACATCAGCCACACGGGGGTCTCTATCCAGGCGTCCCTCGCCGCCGTTAACCCTTTCATGGCCTGCCTTTTCCATGCGGAGCCCACAGGGCCCCAGGGATGCCTGTGCAGGGAAACGGGGCAAGGGGGTCCTCGTGGGGAATCCCTGGGTGGGCGCCCCATGACCGCCCCCGCCAGGGCGCCTAAGTGGCCAGGGAAAGCCCCCTTCGGAGTAGGAGTGCAGGGATCCAGGCCCTGCCCGTGGGGCCCACGAAAGATGCTTTTGGGAGCTGGCGGGGGTCTCTGGATCCTTCTCTCCCCTCCCCCGCGACCCCTTTACCTCTTTCTCCTCGCTCCCGATTCTCCTTTCCTTTCCTGCAACATCCACGGGGGGGGGGTCCCCTGCCTCCTCCCTCCCCTTTCCGAAAGCGCGCGCCCCTAGAGCTACGGGGCAGAGCAGCAGTCCGGCGCAGAAGAGCCACTTCCGGGAGAAGCAGGCAGTTTGGGAGGGGGGGCTCATCCCCCCCATTCCCGGAACAGATGGCGGATGGTGAGGAGGAGGAGCAACATATTGGGGAGGGGATTTGGGGTTGTGGGGGCGGGGTGAGAGGATGTGCGGGGAGGGGAGGAATTGGGGGAGGGGGAGGAAGGTTTCCCTCCTCCCCTCTTCCTCCTGTAGATCAGGAGAGCGGGGGAGGGGTTGATCCTGGCAATCCAATTGCAAAGTGGGGTCCCCCCCCAATGTTTACATTGCTAAATCCTTCCCTCGCCCACCCCACGCCACGAGCCGTGCGTCCGTGCTTTAGGTATTGGTGCTCTTCAAACCAGGAAGGGGGGACAGTTATACGACACCCCAAGTCCCCACCACAGCCTCGGTGTCTCCCTGGATGCTCCAGTAGCCGGCCTCCTCTGGGTCTCCTGGCCCCCTCCTCTCTTCCCTCTGGGTCTGAACTGCTCTCTGTCCCAGCCTCTTCCTGCTCACCAAACCCTGTTTCCTCCTCAGCTGGCAACACCTCCCCTCCCGGTCTGCTGCCCTTTCTCCCTCTTTCCGCTCATCGCCATCCCACCACCAGTCCCCAGGATCTGAGCCTTCTTCCTTTGTGGGTCTCCCAGCTGGTGCCTCCCCCCCCCAACACAGCCAGTCCATGACAGCAACAGCAGCCATAGCAGTAAAATCAGTATGATAGTAATATAACAACAACAACAACAACAACAACAACAACAACAACAACAATAATAATAATAATTTTTTTATTTATACCCCGCCCTCCCCAGCCAAGGCCGGGCTCAGAGCGGCTTACAAGCAATAATAAAAACAAGATGAATGATTACAACTTAAAAACAAAAATAAAATACAACATTAAAATAATGGAACATTAAAATATTAAAATGTAGCCTCATTGCAGGAGAAGGAAAAGAAAAAAGAAAAGGGGGGGGGAGGGAATCAAATTGGCTCCAAGCCAAAGGCCAGGCGGAACAACTCTGTCTTACAGGCCCTGCGGAAAGAAATCAGATCCTGCAGGGCCCTGGTCTCATGAGACAGAGCGTTCCACCAAGTTGGGGCCAGTGCTGAAAAGGCCCTGGCTCTGGCTGAAGCCAATCTAACTTCCTTAGGGCCTGGGACCACTAGGGTGTTGTTATTTATGGACCTTGAGGCTCTCCGTGGGGCATACCAGGCGAGGCGGTCCCGTAGGTACGAGGGTCCTAGGCCGTGAAGGGCTTTAAAGGTCAAAAGCAGCACCTTAAATCTGACCCTGTACTCCACCGGGAGCCAGTGCAGCTTGAAAAGCACTGGATGAATATGCTCCCATGGCAGAGATCCTGTGAGGAGCCTCGCTGCAGCATTCTGTACCCGCTGGAGTTTCTGGGACAGCTTCAAGGGCAGCCCCGCGTAGAGCGAATTACAGTAGTGAAGCCTGGAGATGACCGTCGCATGGATCACTGTGGCCAGGTCGGGGCGGGAAAGGTAAGGGACCAACTGCTTGATGCGGCGAAGGTGGGAAAATGTTGCCTTGGCTGTTGCTGTAATTTGCGCCTCCATGGAAAGGGAGGCGTCAAGGATTACACCCAAACTCTTAACGGAAGGCAATGGCACTAATTGGGCCCCCACAAGAGAAGGGAGTTGGTCCCTCATCCCCATGCCATCCCGACCTAGCCATAAGACCTCTGTCTTCGAAGGATTTAGCTTCAATCAGCTCCCACGAAACCATCCAGCCACAGCTTCCAAGCATCTGGTCAGTGTGTAAGGGGCCGAGTCGGTGTGGCATAATATAATATACACTCTGGTCCTCTGGTAGGAAAACTCCCTAGCAGCAGGATTGAATAATAACTTCTGGGAATATGGAAAAGTATTATCTTCTCCCAACCCCAGAATAAGCACAACTCTGGGGTTGCTCCATGGGGTTCATGAGTGAAGATGGGCCCCCCAGGAGACTTCCCTCGTACCTGTAGCCCCTCCTTCCCCATCCTGCAAATAGGCTTGGGGGGAAATCTCCCATTCAATTTCAGTATTTCAAGCTTTTTTTCAGAATGCGCAGGGGGCAGGGAGATGTTATGGTGAAGAAGCAGTGTTTGGAGATCATACGGTGGTGGGGGTGACAGAGCTTGGTGCAAAAACCATCTTGCATGCTTGAGCAGAGCAACTCCAGGGCATCAGCAGGGTAGAAGCCACATGCAGAGCAATTCCCACGCTGAGGACAAAAACGCACACAGAGGCAGCAGGACTTCTTCAGTAATAGTTTACTGAGCTTTCAAAGCCTACAGTTCTCACTGGGTCCCCAGTGAGGCACAAAACTTATCTCCTGAGAGCAAATCCCGTTTCAGCAGTAAAAAAAATACAGCACACAGGATCTCTAAGTCAGGCACACACACCGGCAGAAGGGAGCAAGGGAGGAAAGAGGCTGGAAGGACACAGGGCAATGGAGGTGTGTCTTTCGCTTCCTGTTGCCTGGGAAGAAAGTCAGCAACTCGGCATCTGCAGGGACTTCACGAAGCAAAGCTTTATGCTGGCTATTCCAGGCAAATGCGCATCCTAGAAACACACACTGTGATCTGTGCTATATTGCCGTATCAGTTGTTTTTATGGGGATTTTTCTGTCCCCCCCCCCCAAAAAAATATTCATTTTATAACACAAATAAAGAACACAATCAGAAAAACAAACAATACAAACAAAGTCTTGTCATATCCTTATTTTCCTATACATTGTGAAGTGGGCTTCCCCAAGTCCTACCTATCTGATTTTCATTTTACTTCATCTTTAGCTATTTACATATATCATCATTTCTAACAATCTTTTTTTTTAATCACACTTAAAATAACTTCACATTTTATCACTTACAAATAATACTACTTTAAAATACATTATCTTCTACTTCTAAGCCTGCAGCATATATCCGCTTCCAAAGCTATTCTAAGATTTAAATATTAACATAAAATGTAATAAATTATACATCTTAGATAGTTTTTTTGGTTTTGTATCTAATAATTCCATTTCCAGTTTGGATTTCTCTCTTTGAAAACCAAATTTCTTGTCCATTTTAAACACTTCATTTATCTGGATGTACTGGAACCTATCATCTAATTTATCTTTCAACAGATCACAAGATTTTAATCTAAATTGGTCCCCTACTTCCATCAGAATAGCATTATACTTCAACCACGTATCTTTCATATTCAACCTTTTATGGGTCTTAGCTTCCAATGGTGAGCCAAATCACTTGTTTTTCAAGGGTTCTCGCAATGCGTCAGGGAATGGTCTGAAGCTGAGTATGGGGGAATGCATTCTCAGGCAGATCAGCTTTCCTGGGAGCAGGGGGGGGGGGATTGACCCTCCTCTTTTCCAGTGGTCTCAGAAGCAGGGAGTGACACCGATGCAGAGCAGATTAGACAGGAGTTACCTAGCTAAGAGAGAAGGACAAGAGAAACAGACTCAGCTGGCCCTGAAGCAGAAATACGGATTTCTTCGGAGTTCATTGCTGGGAAGAAGAGTGGACACTGAGAGGAACATGTCCCACACTCCATACATCTAAATGGGTTCTCCCTTGTGACAGTCCCTAGATGTTTCTTAAACATTCCATTATAATTAAATCACTTTCTGTAATCTTTCCATTTAAACTGCTTCTCCTCATGTCTGTTGATGGTTTGTAGGGTTTTAACTCTTAAAGTTCATCCTGTGCATGAGTCTGTTGATTTAGAACTTCCACTAGAAATGGACCTCTACCTTTATTTAACTTCCTGACACTTATATGGTTTGTCTCCTGTGTGAGTTTGTTAATGTAAATCAAGGGTTCCACTCTGCCTGAAGCTTTACCGCTCTCAATGCATTTAAAGGGTTTTTCCCCTGTGTGAGTCCATTGATGTCTTCTAAGGGTTTCATTGAAACCGAAGCTCCTCCGCACTCCATTCATTCATATGGTTTCTCCCCTGTGTGAGTCAGTTGATGTCTATTAAGGTGTCCACTCTGACTGAATTTCTTTCCGCACTCCATGCATTTAAATGGTTTTTCCCCTGTGTGAGTCTGTTGATGTCTTCTAAGGTTTCGATTATCACTAAAGCTCTTTCCACACTCCATACATTCATATGGTTTCTCCCCCGTGTGAGTCCGTTGATGTCTTCTAAGGGTTCCATTATCACAATAGCTCTTTCCGCACTCCATACATTCATATGGTTTCTCCCCCGTGTGAGTCCGTTGATGTATTCTAAGAGTTCCATTATCACGAAAGCTCTTTCCACACTCCATACATTCATATGGTTTCTCCCCCGTGTGAGTCCGTTGATGTCTTCTAAGGTTTCGATTATCACAATAGCTCTTTCCGCACTCCATACATTCATATGGTTTCTCCCCCGTGTGAGTCCGTTGATGTATTCTAAGAGTTCCATTATCACGAAAGCTCTTTCGACACTCCATACATTCATATGGTTTCTCCCCCGTGTGAGTCTGTTGATGTCTTCTAAGGTTTCGATTATCACTAAAGCTCTTTCCGCACTCCATACATTCATATGGTTTCTCCCCCGTGTGAGTCCGTTGATGTATTCTAAGGTTTCGATTATCACTAAAGCTCTTTCCGCACTCCATACATTTACATGGTTTCTCACCTGTGTGAGTCCGTTGATGTCTTCTAAGGGTTCCATTATCACAAAAGCTCTTTCCACACTCCGTACATTCATATGGGTTCTCCCCTGTGTGAGTCTGTTGATGTCTTCTAAGGGTTGCATTGAAACTGAAGCTCTTTCCGCACTCCATACATTCATATGGTTTCTCCCCTGTGTGAGTCATTTGATGCTTTTTGAGGTGTCCACTCTGACGGAATTTCTTTCCGCACTCCATGCATTTAAATGGTTTTTCACCTGTGTGAGTCCGTTGATGTGTTCTAAGCTTTCCATTATCACTAAAGCTATTTCCGCACTCCAGACATTTAAATGGTTTTCCCCCTGTGTGAGTCCATAGATGTCGTCTAAGGGCTGCATTGAAACTGAATCTCCTTCCGCACTCCATACATTCATATGGTTTCTCCCCCGTGTGAGTCCGTTGATGTATTCTAAGGTTTCGATTATCACTAAAGCTCTTTCCGCACTCCATACATTTACATGGTTTCTCACCTGTGTGAGTCTGTTGATGTCTTCTAAGGGTTCCATTATCACTAAATCTCTTTCCGCACTCAATGCATTTAAATGGTTTTTCCCCTGTGTGAGTCCGTTGATGTTGTCTAAGGTTTGCATTGAAACTGAAGCTCTTTCCACACTCCATACATTTATATGCTTTCTCCCCTGTGTGAGTCTGTTGATGTCTTCTAAGTTTTCCATTATCACTAAATCTCTTGCCACACTCAATGCATTTAAATGGTTTTTCCCCTGTGTGAGTCCGTTGATGTCGTCTAAGGTTTGCATTGAAACGGAAGCTCTTTCCGCACTCCAAACATTCATATGGTTTCTCCTCTGTGTGAGTCCGTCGATGTGTTCTAAGGGTTCTATTATCACGAAAGCTCTTTCCACACTCCATACATTCATATGGTTTCTCCTCTGTGTGAGTCCATTGATGTGTTCTAAGGGTTCTATTATCACGAAAGCTCTTTCCGCACTCCATACATTCATATGGATTCTCCCCTGTGTGAATCCGTTGATGTGTTCTAAGGGTTCCATTATCACGAAAGCTCTTTCCACACTCCATACATTCATATGGTTTCTCCCCTGTGTGAGTCAGTAGGTGCCTATTTAGGCTTCCACTCTGACTGAATTGCCTTCCGCACTCCATGCATTTAAATGGTTTTCCCCTGTGTGAGTCCGTAGATGTATATTGAGGTGTCCACTATGACTGAAGTTCTTCCCACACTCCGTGCATTTGAATCCTTTCTTCCCCATGTTAGTCGGCTGATGTGTTCCACATTTCACACATGTCAATGTCTATATCTAATGAAAACAAAGGTGCCCTTTCCCCTGGAAGTCTGTCTCTCTTCTCCATGACCCTCCTCAGTGTGGGAGGAAAGGAAATCCTGTTTGGGTTTCAAGGAAGAGAACAAAGGGAAAGAGAGCACATCAAACGCCATTAGCAGCTTTTCTTATTTCAGCATCTCCTATATTCCCCTGCCTCCTACCCATGTTCCCAGTTTTGAGGAAATAAAGATGCAATGATGTCAAATGATAGTAATGCAGCAGCAACCTTTCATTATCCTCAATCATCATTAATAAAGCAGCATGATCTTGGAAAACAGCCTTTTCACATCAATTGTTTCCTCACAGGAAATGCAGCTTCTCTCTCTCGATGAAAAGGCCCTCTCTCTCTATGATCCATCGTTCCTTTGGACATTTCCCATCCTCGGCATCATAATCCTCCATCCACCCCTGTTTCCACCTCTAGATCTTCATGAATGACCTGCACAATCCCAATGGCCTCAGGAAGTCCATGTGGACCATTATATGAGACCCAGGTCTACATCTTTTCCAGGGAGTGTGGTCTGGGTCAGTCAGAGAACTAGTGGCAAGGCTTGGTGCTTGGGGTCAGCTGAATAGGTGCTCAGGGAAGCTCCTGTTCTTGGAGACGGATCTCCGTCTACATGCCTTGCATTGCATGGAGAGAGCAGGAGAAGCAGAAAGAAGGAGCTGGCAAATGGGAAACACCCCTACCCCATTGTTCCTCATAATAATGATGTGCTGCCTGATCTCGAGCCCCTCTTCTGACACAGGACTATCCTAATCTGGCACTGACAAAGCTGGATATTCAAGGCAAAGGGATAACTCTACTTAGTGGAAACTTCATCCTTTAATATGTAGTACAGATTCATTAACAACCTGAAGTTGTGTTATTTCTTGAGATATGAATTTATTCCTGATCTGAGCGTTTTTTCCTACTCTCCTAACTATATGTCAGTCTAGGAGATCGTTATGAAGGAGCAAGTTCTGCAACCTAGAGCCCTAAACAGCCTCGGGCCCTGTAGACCTGAAGGAGTGTCTCCACCCCCATCCTTCACTCTGAACACTGAGGTTCTCCTCTGAGGGTTTTCTGCTGGTTCCCTCCCTTCAGAGGTCAAGGAAATGAACAACTATCTGACATTTAGAAGATAGTTGAAGGGAGACCTGTATTAGGAGCTTTTTAATGTTGGATGTTTTACTGTCTTTTATGTGTACTGGAAACCCAACCAGATGGGCAGGGTATAAATACTACAATCATTTGTATTATCTTGTGATTTTTTGGTAGTTATTTTGGAATTCGTAGTGCAATATCAGGTCACGAAATGTTTTGGGTGGAGAAAATCACAGGGTTGCCGTAAACAATAATCCCACCCACAAACTCTCATTCACATACAGTCTGTAAATTTGGGAAGGTCACACAGCTCACCTGTGCTAATACTGGCAGTCTTTGGCCTCCATAGGCACACCATGCCTGTAGAGCCTCCAGCCACAAGCACTGTCTATCATGAAAATGGGTCCTTTGACTGGGAAGTATCTCAGCTTGTCAGTCACCCTGACATTGCCTATAAAAAGTAAGAGGAACAGAAATGCCTTTGAGGCGCACCTTCTATATCAATCCTGAGATCAATTAAATAGGTTCTGCACCCCTGTTTCTGTTGTTGTTTTTTAAAGAATTTTTATTAGAGTTTCAACAAGTTTTTATCATAACCAAACAAAACAACACAATAACAAAAATGTAAAACATAGAAAACAAAAAAAATCATACCAGTTCAAATCTTAATTTCTTGTAACTTATTTTCCCGACTTCCTCATACCTCCCCTTTCTGTATTCCAATTTCTGATTTATTTTCAGCAAATCCCTCCCTTACTTTTAGCCTAATTTTAATATTGCTTATTTTCTTTAAATTAGCCATTACCTCAGCTAACCACTTATTTTCTAATCCAGCGTCATTTTCACATTCATTAATTTTGCTATGTTTCTTTACTTATTTCTCATAAAACATTTTTACATATTCCTTTCAGCTATGTCACCAATGCCACACTATCTTTATATCCTGCATCGCTTTAACATTCTTTTGGAAGCCGCCCAGAGTGGCTGGGGAAACCCAGCCAGATGGGCGGGGTATAAATAATAAATTATTATTATTATTATTATTATTATTATTATTATTATTATTATTCAAATATTTTGCAATGTTTTTGCAGATAGTCTTTAAATTTCTTCCAATCCTCTTCCGTTTGTTCTTCTCCCGTGTCTCGGATTCTGCCAGTCATTTCTGCCAATTCCATGTAGTCTATCAATTGCACCTGCCATTCTTCCAGGGTGGGCAAATCTTGTGTCTTCCAGTACTTTGCGATAAGTATTCTTGCTGCTGTTGTTGCATACATAAAGAAAATTCTATCCTTCTTTAGCACCATCTGGCCGACAATGCCCAAGAGGAAGGCCTCTGGTTTCTTAAGGAAGGTATAGTTAAATACCTTTTTCAGTTCATTATAGATCATTTCCCAGAAAGCCTTAACCTTTGGGCACGTCCACCAGAGGTGAAAGAATGTTCCCTCAGTTTCCTTACATTTCCAACATTTATTATCAGGCAAATGATATACTTTTGCAAGCTTGACTGGTGTCATGTACCACCTATAAATCATTTTCATAATATTTTCTTTTAAGGCATTACATGCCGTAAATTTCACACCAGTGGTCCATAACCGTTCCCAGTCAGCAAACATAATGTTATGACCAATGTCTTGTGCCCACTTAATCATAGCTGATTTGACCGTTTCATCCTGAGTGTTCCACTTTAACAGCAAGTTGTACATTCTTGAAAGTACCTTAGTTTTAGGTTCTAACAATTCCATTTCTAATTTCGAATTTCCCACCTGAAAATCTATTTTTTTATCCATATTAAAAACCTCTCTAATTTGGTAATAATGTAACCAATCTCGCACTTTATCTTTTAGTTTCTCAAAACTCTGCAATCTCCATGTGTCTCCGTTTTGTTCTAGTATCTCCCAATATTTCGGCCATTTGGCCTCCATATTGAGTCTTTTCCGAGCCTTAGCTTCCATAGGTGACAACCACCCTGGGGTCTTATTTTCCAATAAATCTTTGTATCTTGTCCAGACATTAAATACTGCTTTCCTGACAATATGGTTCTGAAATGTTTTGTGAGCTCTAACCTTGTCGTACCACAAATATGCATGCCACCCAAACGCATTCTTAAACCTGTTTCTGATGACAAGTGTACATTTTCCTCATCCTCAATAAACCATGCAGTGGAAAAGACACTTGAAGATGGAAGCCTGAGAGAGAGGAAAAGGTTTCTGGCTGCTTCCTGGGTGGGATGGCGGAAACAAAGAGCCGCTTCTGAGAAGGCCTCTCCCCTCCCCTCCCCTCCTCTCTTCCTCTTTCCTCTCCTCTCCAGGGTGAACAATGGTTGGACTGGGCAGAATCGCTGTGTCTGGACAGGGCAGGAGCTTATGGGGTGGGAAGAGGATGGAGCTTGCAGGAAGGAAGGGGTGGGGGAACTGGAGCCCCCACTTTCCAGGGATCCCTCTCTGGTTGCCTTGAAGGGGGGTCGATTCTTGGGTGGGAGGGAGAAGCCAAGGCGGCCCCTTCGGAGATTCCTCGTGGGCGCACTATGGAGACGTCTCCCTACAGACTGGTCTCCTCCCCCCAACCTCGCCAATGCTGCGCTTCCTTCCCCAGGGATGCTCCCCTCCCTCCTCCCCCCGGCTCCCCCCACCCTTGGCCCCCTCCCTCTCTCCCGGAGTCTCCCCTGCACCCAGAGGCCCCCTTGGCGCGGCTCACCCCTCGCCATGCGCGACCCATCTCTCCATCCGGAGGGGCCCCCCAAGACGAGGTGGGGAGGGACAGGGGGGTCTCTATCCAGGCGTCTCTCGCGCCCGTTAACCCTTTCATGGTCTGCCTCTCTCCGCGCGGAGCGCACAGGGCCCCAGGGATGCCTGCGCGGGGGAAACGGGGCCGGGGAGTCCTCGTGGGACCCCGTGGGTGGGCGCCCCATGTCCTCCCCTGCCGAGGAAAGCCCCCTTCGCAACACGCGTTCAGGGATCCAGGCCCTGCCGGGGGGGCCACGGAAGGCGCTTTGGGGAGCTGGCGCGGAGTCCCTCTCTAGCTCCTTCTCTCCCCTCTCCCCCCCCCCCGCCGCGACCCCTTTACCTCTTTGTCCTGGTTCCCGATTTTCATTTCATTTCCTGCAACATCGATGTTTGCGGGGGGATCCCCTGCCGCCCCTCCTCCCCTTTCCGAAAGGGCGCGCCCCTAGAGCTATGGCGCTGAGCGGCAATCCGGCGTCGAAGCTCCACTTCCGGGAGAAGCAGCAGTTTGGGAGGAGGCTCACCCCCCCCCTTATTCCCGGAACAGAAGCCGGATTGGAGGAGGAGGAGGAGGATCCTGATACTTCCAAAGGAGAAGCCCAGGAAAGCCTTGCAGCTGGGGGGATCTGTGAATATGGTTCTTATTGGAAGAGGTTCTTATTGGAAGAGGGTAGTTTAAAAATGTGTGGGAAGCTGGGGTTGTTGACAGGGGTGGGTGACGGGCTCATGTTTCTGAATGCCAAAGACTCCTACTTTGTGACAAATCTGTGATGCATCAAAGAAATGCTATGGGAAAATGTATTGTGGGAAATGGGGAGAGGTCTTAAAAATCCATGCAACCATCTTCTCAGGGGTTCCTACTCTTGGTGTGTTTGAACCTTGTTGCAACAAATAAAGATCAGGTCAACGGACCGCTGTTTTGCATCTTTAACTTGGCTGGATTCTCCTTCTTTTGCTGACTGGAGGGACCCCCGGGGAGTGGCACCCTGAGGAGCTGGGCAGCGGAGTGAAATCCGCACCCCGGGATATTTTCCTTCTCAACTCTTTCCCACCTGAGCCTCACCCCCTTACCTAAAAGCCAGGCACAACACAATGTGACAGGATTGTGACTCCTACAGTCTGGAAACAAAATAGCGCCCCCTAGCAAGGCAACCCCGGGATGCTGAGGTCCCCCAATCCTTGAAATGAAAAGGGGGGGGCTCGGGAAACCTTCAGGGAGCAGACGGGGAGGGGGCTGCCCAGGCTCCAGAAGCTCCTTCTCGCTGGTTCCTCCCCATCGCCCTCCTGCTGCCTGCCTCCCCTCCGCTTCTACTGGTCCTTTGCAAGTGCGGGGAAGCCCTAGTCCCTCCGGCCCCCTCAAATTCCTTCTAAGAGCCCCACATTGCACGGGGTAGGCTCACCTGCAGCGAAACAACACACAGCTGCCCTGCAGAGTAGAGCCAGGCTGGGGGCACCGTGGGGACCCCAGAAATGTATCCCTAGAAGAAATGCGCCTCCTTCCTTCTCTGGTGTTCAAGTGCTGCCGGTGGGCTTCCCAGAAGAGGCCTCCGCTTGGCCCCTGGGAGGACGGGGCCCCTTGGGCCTGATCCTGCAGGGATCACCTGACGTTCTGATGCAAGTGAACCCTCTTTTCTCCTTCAAGGTGAACAGGGTTTCCCAAATTTGGGTCTCCAGCTGTTTTTGGACTACAGCTCCCATCACCCCTAGCAGGCAAGACCAGTGGTCAGGGATGATGGCTTTTGTCGTCAGGATCTCCAGGTGGCTCTGGCAAGTGAGCCCAGCTGTGTGTGACAAGAGTGGGGGAATTCCTTCCTGGATTCCAGAAGTGGCCATCACCTTTGAATGTAGGGGTCAGTGACTCTATTCCTCCAACCGGAGTGAGTGTGGGTCTTCCTCGCCCACTTCCATTCTGCTCCGCCATTCCCAAAGAGTGATTCCTCTGAAGTCAGTAAATTGTTCAGAGTTGCTCAAACAGAGAGAGATTGCAAGGAGCCCCTAAAAGAGCTCTCCAAACAGGGTGATTGGGCTGAAAATACAGTTCATTGTCAAAGAGATTAAAGTGAGGCATGTTGGGGTGATGGATCTTATGGAAATGGTGGAAATGACTGGCAGAATCCGAGACCAGGGAGAAGTCGGTGCAAGAAGATTGGAAGAAATTTAAAGTTTATTTACAGAAACATAGTAAAATTAAGGAAGTTTAGAAGGAGGCTGGAATGAAGCTATGTGACTATTGCATAATCAATATAAAGGATTTAAGTTAAATAGATTGTTGAAGGAAAGCAGGAAAGGTAAAATTATACTATGTTAAGACAAATTGATTGGATAAAAATTGGGAAAGATGGAAAGGGTTTGCTGAAATAGCTAATTGGAGCAGAATACAAAAAAGGGAGGTGTGAGGAGGTCAAAGAAACAAGTAAATGAATGTTAAGTTATAGAAGGTTTATTGTATTTTTCTGTATTTTTCTTTTTTTTCTTTTTGTTTGACTGTTTTCTGTTCTTTGTTGATGTCTTTGCTGTTGTTTTTTCTTTTGTTATATTCCTAAAACTTTAATAAATATTTTTTTTAAAAAAATAAAGTGATGCATGTTGGGGGGCAGGGAAACACCCTCTTAATATCATGTGCAGGATCATGGGGTCTGAACCGGGTTTCTCTGTGTGTTCTAGGAGACTATGGGAGAGGAGAGCCTGTCACAGCAGGAGGGGGGGTCTCCCTGGATGCTTCAGTAGCCGGCCTCCTCTGGGTCTCCTGGCCCCCTCCTCTCCTCCCTCTGAGCCTGAACTGCTCTCTGCCCCAGCCTCTTCCTGCTCACCAAACCCTGTTTCCTCCTCAGCTTGCAACACCTCCCCTCCCGGTCTGCTCCCCTTTCTCCCTCTATCTGCTCATTGCCATCCCACAACAGCCCCCAGGCTCTGAGCCTTCTTCCTTGTGGGTCTCCCAGCTGGTGCCTCCCCCTCCCCACACCCAGCCAGTCCATGACTGCAAAAACAGAAATAACAGTAAAATCAGCATGATGGTAATATGCACTCTGATAGGGAAACTCCCTAGCAGCATGACTGAATAAAATCCTCTGGGACTATGAAAAAGAACTATCTTCTCCAAACCCCAGAACAAGCAGTAGCTCTGGGGTTGCCCCATGGGGTTCACGAGTGAAGATGGGACCCACCAGGAGACTTCCCTTCTTCCCCGTCTTGCAATAAGGCTTGGGGGGGGGGAATCCTTGTTAAATTACAGTATTGTAAGTTTTTTTCAGAACACGCAGGGGCAGGGATGAAGTTCTGTTGAAGAAGCAGTGTTTGGAGATAGTGCAGTGGTGGGGATGAGAGACTTTGGTGCAAAAACCGTCTTGCATGCTTGAATAGAGCAACTCCAGGGCATGAGCCAAGTAGCAGTAGGGTAAGGGCCACATGTAGAGCAATTCCTACACTTAGGTCAAAAACACACACAGAGGCACCAGGACTTCTTCAGTAAAAGTTTGCTGAGCTTTCAAAGCATACAGTTCTCACTGGGTCCCCATATAATCTCTATAATCTTAGATGATACTCACATTGTTTGACATTGCCTTCAATATTTCATTGTTGTTCAGTTTTACATATAAACACAAGAACTTCAAATACACGTTGTGTGTTTAAGACTGATTTCTTGCTGAGTTCATTGCTGTGAAGAAAGAGTGGACACTGAAAGGAACACGTCCTGCACTCCATACATCTAAATGGGTTCTTCCATGTGAGAGTCCCTGGATGTTCGTTAAACACTCCATTGCAAATAAAGCACTTTTTGCAATCTTTTCATTTAAACTGCTTCTCCTCTTTGTTGATGGTTTTTAGGGTTTCAAATCCGAATGTCCTTCCAGTACCTGAGTCTGTTGATTTAGAACTTCCACTAGGACTGAAACTCTATCTATTTTACTGATATTTATACAGTTTGTGTTTTGTGTGAGTTCGTTCGCATAAATCAAGGGTTCCACTCTGACTGGAGCTCCTTCCACAGTCCATACATTTAAACAGATTCTCCCCTGTGTGTATGCTGATGTTTTCTAAGGTTTCCATTATGATAAAAGCTCTTTCCGCACTCCATACATTTAAATGGTTTCTCCCCTGTGTGAGTCCGTTGATGTATATTGAGGTGTCCATTCTGACTGAAGCTCTTTCCGCACTCCATACATTTATATGGTTTCTCCCCTGTGTGAGTCCGTTGATGTCTTCTAAGGGCTGCATTGAAACTGAAGCTCTTTCCACACTCCAGGCATTTAAATGGTTTCTCTCCTGTGTGAGTCCGTTGATGTATATTGAGGTGTCCATTCTGACTGAAACTCTTTCCGCACTCTATACATTTATATGGTTTCTCCCCTGTGTGAGTCTGTCGATGATTTCTAAGGTTTCCACCGATACTGAAGCTCTTTCCACACTCCATACATTTATAGGGTTTCTCCCCTGTGTGAGTCTGTTGATGTTTTCTAAGGTTTCCATTATGATGAAAGCTCTTTCCGCACTCCATACATTTAAATGGTTTCTCTCCTGTGTGAGTCTGTTGATGTTTTCTAAGGTCTCCATTCTGACTGAAGCTCTTTCCGCACTCCATACATTTAAATGGTTTCTCCCCTGTGTGAGTCCGTTGATGTTTTCTAAGGTCTCCATTCTGACTGAAGCTCTTTCCACACTCCATGCATTTATATGGTTTCTCCCCAGAATGAGTCCGTTGATGTTTTCTAAGGCTTCCATTTTCAGTAAAGCTCTTTCCGCACTCCATACATTTATATGGTTTCTCCCCTGAATGTGTCCGTTGATGATTTCTAAGGCTTCCATTATAAGTAAAACTGTTTCCACACTCCATACATTTATATGGTTTCTCCCCTGTGTGAATCTGTTCGTGTAATTTAAGGGCTCCATTCTGACTGAAGCACTTTCCGCACTCCATACATTTAAATGGTTTCTCCCCCGTGTGAATCCTTTGATGTTTTCTAAGGTTTCCACTGCAACTGAAGCTCTTTCCACATTCCATACATTTAAATGGTTTCTCCCCTGTGTGAGTCCGTTGATGTGTTCTAAGCTTTCCATTATCAGTAAAGCTTTTTTCGCACTCCATACATTTAAATGGTTTTTCCCCTGTGTGAGTTCGTTGATGTATGTTGAAGTGTCCACTCTGACTGAAGCTTTTTCCACACTCCATACATTTAAATGGTTTCTCCCCTGTGTGAGTCCGCTGATGTAAACTTAAGTCTCCATTCTGACTGAAGCTCTTTCCACAATCCAGACATTTAAAAGGTTTCTCCCCTGTATGAATCCTCTGATGACTTCTAAGTGTATCACTCCGACAGAAGCTCTTTCCACAATCCATGCATTTAAAAGGTTTCTCCCCCGTGTGAATCCATTGATGTGCTCTAAGTTTATCACTCCGACTGAAGCTCTTTTCACAATCCATGCATTTAAAAGGTTTCTCCCCCGTGTGAATCCATTGATGTGCTCTAAGTTTATCACTCCGACTGAAGCTCTTTTCACAATCCAGACATTTAAAAGGTTTTTCCCCTGTGTGAAACTGTTGATGTAAACTTAAGTGTCCATGTTGACTGAAGTTCTTCCCACACTCCCTGCATTGGAATTCTTTCTTGCCCATGTGAGTCCGCTGATGTGTTCTAAGTTTTCCACTATCAGGGAAACTTTTCCCACACTCCATACCTTTAAATGGTTTTCCCCCTGTTGGACGTCGTTGATGTGAACTATGGGTGCTCATTCAATGAAGCATTTTCTGCATTTCACACTCTTTTTTTTCTATTCCTAATGATACGAAAGGTGCCCCATTCACTGGGGTTTGAAGTGTCTTCTCCATCTCCTTCTTCAGAGTGGGAGGAACGGAAATCCTGTTTAGGTTTCAAGGAAGAGAACTAAGGGAAAGAGAACATATCAAGCTCCATTAGCACCTTCTCCTATTTCAACATCTCCTACATTCCCTCATCTCCTATCCATGTTCCCAATTTTTAGGAAATGAAGTTG